CTCTTTCTGTTTATATACAATTGGGAGAGTTGCTTGCCAATGACCAATTACCAAAATAAATGAAAAGCCATTAACACAGCCACCCTAGGCTCAAAAATCTTCAAAAAATATGTAACCCAAAACTACAACAATTACATTTGACTTCCATTACCTACTTCACATGATGTGAAATGCTCAAACAATTAGGGGTGAGTTTTATACGATTGTGTCTTTTAATAAGACTGTTGGAATATTACACCATCAATGATACTGACTGGCTTCTATTTTAAGCCTGCCTAAAGGTTGAAAATTCCCACCCAAATCTATATAATTGAATGAATTTCAGAATATTATAAACTAAGAAGGTTTTCAATTTTAAAAAACTCTCTCTCTCTCTCTCTCTCACCTGATTCATTTGAGAAAAAGATTCCAATCATCCCCCCAAAACACAATCCCATTTTCATACTAATTTACCATCTAAACCAATGCGATCCAGATATCTTTAACAGGCTTCATAGTCCCTGCAAACTCTAGCACCCTAATTGATGAAAACTTTTTCACATTCACGGAAAACCCACACCATTTCAAAAATCCACATACACACTGAAATTTCAATGAAGATAATCAAAATCAATGAAGACTTTCTGTGAGGTGTAAGCTGAAGTTTCGAAAATTGTGTGGATCATCTATCGACGGAGTTGGTTTGCCGGTACGCCGAAAAGGCCAAAATCGGAGATTTTCAAAACCCTAGCCTTATTGCTCCATCGTCTTCGTCGCCGCTTGCCGGACCTCCTCCGGCAAGTCCCTCACTTACATTTCCAGCAATTCCTCAAACTCCGACCGATCGCCGTCCCTTTCGTCAAGCTCGCCGGCGATGCAGAGGTCTCTCACTTCCACTGCGGCTAACAAGATGAAGAAGGCGCTGGGGATCCAATCTAGTTCGAAGAGGAGCGAGGAAAGGGGTTTGGATGGGTAAATTGGTCTATTAAAAATTAATGAGACTTGAAAGAGCAAATAATTTTTATCTTGGACCTAATGGATTATAAGTTCACAAAATGGGACTTGTATGTAAATGCCCCAAAAAAAAAAAATTACAAAAACATTGAGAGTGCAAGTGATTTTGTGATGAGGTGCAAGTGAAAAACTGTGAAGATGTAAATCTCACTTAGACCCCTCTATGTTTGGGGTTTTTATTTTATTTTTTATTTTTTATTTTTTGTATATCTAACTGGTAAGTAGTTTCCCAAAAAAAAAACATCATGTGATAAAAAGTGAATCTCACACATGGTGGATCCCACATGTGGGATGCATCATTTGTCTCATAGAATAAAGATTGATAGCATGAATTGATCTTGGTTGATAGGTTTGAATTTGTGCTTGCCGATCGACTGGCCGGACAACTACCCGAACAATTAATGCAACACTTGTCTATCGAGATTGTCATCTTATCGACCGTTACTCTCAGTCTTTTTGTCAGATGATCGACCGGCAAATCAAAGTTCAAGTCATTCGAACAATATGAAATTCAAGTAACGTAACATTGTTCTTGTGTCATATTTTGTGAATTTTGTGTGTAGTACAATTGTTCTTATTTTAATTAGTGTTATGATTAAAGACAATTAGAAAATGATCTACAAACAATCACATACACAAATGAGACAGAAATATTTACGTGGTTCGACTCAATGTCTACGTCCACGGGAGAGAAGAGAGAAATCTTCACTATAAACAAAAACAAATACAAAATAGAAGAGGAGGAGTCCCACTCTCTCAACTCAACTCATAAATTATACTTCTCACAACTCTCTATTTTCTTCATATTTGATCTCTTTCTCCTTACAATCTCAGCTCACAGCTCTTTCCATTTATATACAAATGGGAGAGTTGCTTTCCAATGACCAATTACCAAAATAAATGAAAAGCCATTAACACAGCCACCCTTGGCTCAAAAATCTTCAAAAAATCTGTAACCCAAAACTACAACAGTTACAATTGACTTCCATGACCTACTTCACATGATGTGAAATGCTCAAACAATTAGGGGTGAGTTTTACACGATTGTGTCTTTTAATAAGACTGTTGGAATATTACACCATCAATAATACTGACTGGCTTCTATTTTAAGCCTGCATAAAGGTTGAAAATTCCAACCCAAATCTATATAATTGAATGAATTTCAAAATATTATAAACTGAGAAGGTTCTCAATTTTAAAAAACTCTCTCTCTTTCTCACCTGATTCATTTGAGAAAAAGATTCCAATCATCCCCCAAAACACAATCCCACTTTCATACTAATTTACCATCTAAACCAATGCGATCCTGATATCTTTAACAGACTTCATAGTCCCTGCAAACTCTAGCACCCCAATTGATGAAAACTTTTTCACATTCACGGGAATTCGTGGACATGCCGCTAACTCAACAAACCCACACCATTTCAAAAATGCACATACACACTGAAATTTCAATGAAGATAATCAAAATTAATGAAGACTTTCTGCGAGGTGTACGCTGAACTTTCGAAAACTGTGTGGAGCATCTCTCGACGGAGTTGGTTTGCCGGTACGCCGGAGAGGCCGAAATTGGAGATTTTCAAAACCCTAGCCTTATTGCTCCGTCGTCTTCGTCCTCGCTTGCCGGACCTCCTCCAGCAAGTGCCTTACTTACATTTCTAGCAATTCCTCAAACTCTGACCGATCACCGTTCCTTTCGTCAAGCTCGCCGTCGATGCAGAGATCTCTCACATCCACTGCGGCTAGCAAGATGAAGAAGGCGCAGGGGATCCAAACTAGTTCGAAGAGGAGCGAGGGAGAGGGTTTGGAAGGGTAAATTGGTCTATTAAAAATTAATGGGACTTGAAGGAGCAAATAATTTTATCTAGGACTTAATAGATTATAAGTTTATAAAATGGGACTTCTATGTAAATGCCCCAAAAAAAAAATTACAAAAACATTGAGAGTGCAAGTGATTTTGTGATGAGGTGCAAGAGAAAAATTGTGAAGATGCAAATCTCACTTACACCCCTTTATGTTTGTGGTTTTTATTTTATTTTTTATTTTTTATTTTTTGTATATCTAATTGGTAAGTAGTTTCCCAAAAAAAAAATTAAAAAAAAATCATGTGATAAAAAGTGTATCTCACAAATGGTGGATCCCACATGTGGGACGCATCATTTATCTCTTAGAATAAAGATTGATAGCATGAATTGATCTTGGTTGATAGGTTTGAATTTGTACTTACCGATCGACTGGCCGAACAACAACTCGAAAAATTAATGCAACACTTGTCTATCGAGATTGTCATCTTATCGACCGTAATTGTCAGTCTTTTATTCAGATGATCGACCGGCAAATCAAAATTCAAGTCATTCGAACAAGATGACATTCAAGTAACGTAACATTGTTCTTGTGTCATATTTTTTAAATTTTATGTGTAGTACAATTGTTCTTATTTTAATTAGTGTTATGATTAAAGACAGTTAGATAATAATCTACAAACAATCACATACACAAATGAGACACAAATATTTACGTGGTTCGACTCAATGTCTACGTCCACGGGAGAACATAGAGAAATCTTCACTATAAACAAAAACAAATACAAAATAGAAGAGGAGGAATCCCACTCTCTCAACTCAACTCATAAATTGTACTTCTCACAACTCTCTGTTTTCTTCACATTTGATCTCTCTCTCGTTACAATCTCAGTTCATAGCTCTTTCCATTCATATACAAATGAGAGTGTTGCTAGCCAATGACCAATTACCAAAATAAATAAAAAGCCATTAACACAGCCACCCTAGGCTCAAAAATCTTCAAAAAATCTGTAACCCAAAACAACAACAGTTACATTTGACTTCCATAACCTACTTCACATGATGTGAAATGCTCAAACAATTAGGGGTGGGTTTTACACGATTGTGTCTTTTAATAAGACTGTTGGAATATTACACCATCAATAATACTGACTGGCTTCTATTTTAAGCCTGCCTAAAGGTTGAAAATTCCAACCCAAATCTATATAATTGAATGAATTTCAAAATCCCCCCTCCCCCTCCCTCCCCAAACAAAAAAAAGGGAAAAAAGTCTTTTCTAATGAAGTCTTTTACATGTATCATTTTCGTCATGTTGCTTGAATAATATTTAGCTCAAGGAAACACCGATACACCAATTAATATATTAATTAATGTATTAATATATGTTATGACATTATTATTTTAAAATTATGACCCTACCCATTATATAAAGTACAAATATATAAAACTTTTAAAATTATGTCAAATTATCTGTTAATATACTAATTGATATATCAATTGGTGCATATAGCATTATTATTATTTTTAACTATTCTTTTTAGCCATTAGATCAAAAATAAATAATATCAATGATTGATTATACACATTGGATTGTAACTAATTAACATTAATTTAAGTCATAATTGAAAATTATTTCATTGGGAATAAAGTGATTTGCAAACATAATTTCTATATAAAAAATGGTAAATTACAAATACATCCCCTGAGATTTGCTTAAAGTACAGATTGCTCCCTGTGATTTGAAAAATTACAAATACCCCCTTCTTAGAATTTTTTATTTAACAGAATTAACTAAAAAAATAAAATTCATAATTGCTCTCCTACATAATAATAAAATTACCTGAATTATTAATTAAAACATATTTTTAACATCATTAAAAACTGTTAATTGGCTTGATGATTTATTAATAAAATGGGCGATTTGTTATGAAATTAAAAACCTCAAGGGGTGGAATGTAATTTTCAAAATTACAGGACGATTTATATTTTAATTAAACCTCAAGGGGTGTATTTATAATTTATCCAAAAAAATCTATCATAATGATATATCGATGACAATTTTAAAATATTAAGTCACTTCTATGATGTTTTTAACTTAAAATGAATAAATATTAATTTAATACATCATTGTACAAGAAGTCCCGACTGAAATCACTTTGAGAGGCATAACCAACTTTAATTTACTCATAATAAAACACCACAATGGATTGTAATCCACACCAGTTTAGATTATAACTTATATATGATTATGCATCATATGTATTATAACAGACATGAACCATAATAAACTACAAAAAGCATAAATCACCTATGCACAACTATCCAACTGTGGAAAAAAAAAATCCCAATCATCATATTACAAACATGATATAAGACTGATTTTGCATGTATTCCTATAAAAATTTGTAGTTGTTTATTATTATTAAGCCATGACTAGTTGTTGTTGTTGAGCTCCTATCCTGATTTCTTCCTTCATCCTTCTTATGAAGTCATCACATTTCTTGTTCAATTCTTCTCTACTCAACAACCCATCTTCTTCTTCTTCTTCGATTGCAAATCCATTATTAATAGTGCTTAAATCTTTCTCATTCTCTTCATCTTCTCCGCCTACTGTAATCAAAAACCCATTTCGTGCCTCTTGCTCTTCACCTTCTACATTCAAGTTCAAGTCTTCTTCACTCTCTCCTTCCATGGAGTCTTGTTGTTGTTGTTGTTGTTGTTGTAGAGTTTCCACGGTAACTTGTTTCTCTAGCAATGAGTCCTTCGTCTCCAACGACAATTGCAGAACATCTCCATCTCCAATCTTCTTTAATAATTGATCGTTAAGGTGGTCGGATGCAGGCAAAGAATGGATTAAACCAGATGTCTTAGCAAGGAGCATTACGATTCCGTTGCAAATGAGAAAAATGCAGTTTTTGCCCATGGTGTGGGCTAGCAGTTGGAAAGGGAATGTAGAGAAGTGAAAATTGAAGGAATGGAGGAACAAGGTGTACCATGATGAGTTGGATAAAAAGAAGGAAAACACAACAGAAAGTGAGAGTAGCACATGTGTGATCCTTTTATAAAGTTGGGAGCTAACGAATTGAGTTAGACTCTGTTGGTTGTGGTGCTGATCAGTTTGATCCATGTTCTCTCTCTTTCTCTCACTTAGAGAGGAGAGAAGATATGGGGGAGAAATTATGGAGGGTGGTTTGTATGGGGGATGCAGGTTGGAATGTGAAGAGAAATTAATGAAGGTTTTCTTATATATAGGGGTTTGAAATGAGAGAGTTAGCATAGGGAATGAGTAGTTTGACAATAATGTCCTTGATTAGGCTAGAATGTGAAGCCCAATAATGCTAAATTTATTTCTTTATTTTTTCTTCTTCCTATATTTAGCTTACCCATCAAATGTGCATAATATATTTATAATTATTATTTGTGTAACATGTCTTACATGAATTTCGTTAATATTTATTAAATATGGATGTGGTATATAAGATGATAAATTAAATGTAATTTTAAAAAAAATAATCATATTATAATAATCACATTTCTTATCATGTTTGATTATCATCTTATCTTATGTATCAGTTATTACATTGTACGTTGATAAATAGTGAGAACAATTAAACCATTACACTGTTAATAATTGAAATAACAAATTTAAAAAAAATAAAAAAACCGTTTGGGTTTTCTGTGGGCAGCCAATTTCGCCAATTGAGGATATGAGAGCTGTGTGGTAGAGCAAGTTGCCACGTGGGGGGTATACCAGTTTAGTTTTGTCTCGGTGGGTAAGAGTGATCTTCATATTTACCAAATTCAAATTGAGATGACTCATTTTTGGCTAAATCATTGAGTCGGTGGTGTCCTCTTATGACCATGAATTGAGAGAGAGAGAAAAAGAGAAAGAGAGAGAGAGAGGGCTACTGAATTTGTATGAGAGAGAGAGAGAGAGAGAGAGAGAGAGTGAGAGGTACTGAATCTGGCACTTCTTATGGTCTAAAAGTAGTTCTATTTCTTGGCCACGAAATGTTTCCATAATGTAAATTGAATTTTGTTTTGGGTATAAAACCTTAAACCCAACACTGACTATTTTTAGGTTGTGTTTAAATCTCAAAAAAGAAAAGCAAATGAAAATGAATCCATTCCACATCTATATGATTTCCTACCTATTTTGTATCACAGATGCAAAACCTATATATATATATTATATCAACAATTCAAATAGTCCAATTTTTCATGAAATCATTTGTTTTGCTGGAAAACTCTGTTCTTGAAATTCATACCAAATAAATCCTTAAGCACTTAATACTCTAGATTGAAAATCAAAAAAAGAAAAGAAAAACTTCAGATCTTCCAAATAGAGTTCCACATTACAATTCTAGCCCAGAAATGGAGTTGTGTTTAATTGATCAATATTAAACAGATTCATCAGTGATTACATGGCTACCAATGCTATGTTGTGCTTCTTCTTCATCCTCTCTCTCTCTCTCTTCAGAATCAGTCGAGTCAAGATTATTTCGAGCAGAATTAGTTCTCCGCATGAAAAACTTTCTCACAACAAAATGATAAAATCACAGGCCCGGCGAAATCTCCAAGAACACAGCCTGCAAAATGCATAAATTTAGAAATCAATAAATTATCGAAGACAATTTCAATGCAAATTTAAGTTTGATGTTTCACGGACATTGAAATTTTTGATTAAGCAATGGGGCGATGTGCTTACCAATCCACTGACCAGTGGAAGGGGGAAGTAGGGTTGCACCAATCCCTGCTCCAACAGAAGCAAAAACCAGTGCTGCACCACACCTGGCAGTAGTACAAGAAACCTTCTTGCCAAGAACTCGAGTTTTTTCTGCTCTAACAACTTTATCATTCTCTGCTTTAAAAATTTCAGTGAAATACCGGTAAATGTCAATGCCAACTTGGACAAGCCATGACGCTGCAACTCCAAGAAGATGTCCTGCTTAGACATAATAACAGGTTATTAAACAGTGAGACTAAAGCACAACCGACTGAATTGAATGTTGAAAATTGAATATAGAGAGATGTTTGGACCTCTGAAAGTCGTTTTGCTAACACTGAAGAAGTAAACTAGAGTTGGCACCCCCCTTCCGGCCTTGCGCGCAGCTGATCTGGGAACATCTGTAAAAATTTATTGTAACAATTAGTTCGCTCAAAAATGTTTAACCAAAAGCAATACAAATGTGAAATTACAGAAATCGTCAACATTAGCCACTTTTATAACGTCATGAAAAGCAAGTACCTTTAAGAAGTTTCCATGCCATCCTATGTGAAACATAATGGACGGCAAGTCTTTCCAGAACCCGTCTAGTAGTTACAACAGTGGTCTGAGACACAATACAAAAATAATTCAGCGACTGGCCCTGAACTCTTAAACAACAATGTTCAACTAACAAAAAGACATAGCATGAGGAATTTCCAAAGATGATTCTCCATAAAGCAATAAAATGGAGCCAGCAGCTAAGTCTAATGCCGTAACAGAAATCAAAATATTATTATAAAAAAAATGTAAAAATATGCAATTGCAGAGCTCTAATAAGAATGAATTTTAAAAAGTGTGACAAAACCCCAGTGTATTGCAAGTTGATTGATGTGGTGACTTCTGTCAAATAAGATAATTCATGTTGATGACCACAGGATTTACTAAAGATAGAATTGCTCGCAGGATGGCTGAATGCAAAACTGTTTCAGAGGCAACAGGAAAGTGATAACTGAAGAAGATTTTTCATGGACTTTATATAATTTTTTTGGTACTCCACAAAACATATTGTGGGCTTAGAAAAAGTATCAAACACATAAAAATGAAAACGACATAGATAATGACGCAGTAAACTGTAGGGAGAATTGAAAGAGGTACAAAGTGAATATCCAACCACAATAGTATTAAACAAAAGGTCAACAAGGAAAAGTTGAGCCTCTATCCTTTTGCATTAGTCAAGGATGAGTTTAACAGCGTATTCAAGTTGACATGCCTGGTGCATGCTGTTACAGACAGCTTACTTCACAAAACTAGAGTGAGAATAACTAGAACACAACTGCAAAGCAATCTGCTTGGTTGGTTTGAATTTTCAAGATTCACTTTTTAGAAAATTGAAATTTTTTATTTTCCATTTTTTTTTTATTTTTACTGAATTTTTTTAATATTCTGAGTAATTTTTTTAATTTTTAGATACACCTAACATAAATACATTTAAAAAGTATAATATTTGTGAAAAAAATTCAAAAAATTCACCAAATACCAAAACTACAAAAAAGAAAAAGAAAAAGAATTCAGTACATTTTTCGTATTCTTGTGTATTTATTGATTTTTTAAAATCTTTTTTAATAAATATTTTATTTTTTAGATATATTTAAGTACAGTGCATCTAAAAAAAAAAAATTTGCTTAAAATTTTAAAAATATTCACTAAAAACAAAAAAATAAGAAAAATAAAAAACTCAATTTTCAAAAAATTGAATCCAGAAAATTAAAACCAAACACACTGAATACTTAGCAAAATGTTGTTACCATGTTGCAAGTAAATAGAAAAGGTGACATGTATTTCGTGCATTAATTTTTCCCAACAGAGAAGAATAATTGAGTAGATAACTTTTGTACTGCAAGGTACAGCCAGAACCAGATCCTTGCATGTATGCAAATTATATGCCCTGACCCATGACCAAGACTTTTATACTTCAATCGGAATTTCTGCTGCCTGGTTGATATTGTGTATCATCACCTATGAAGCACAGGTGTCGGTACGGATACAAGTACAGGTACAATATGGGTACGGCGATACACTAAAATCTAAAAAAAGTCAAATATGGGTACGGCTAGGGTACGTCAAATATTTATTTATTTATTTATTTTTTAAATTTCTAACTAAACATCCCACATACAAATCAAAGTTCAAAACAATAGTTATAAAGAGAAATTATAAAACCCAAAATAAATCAATATTCAACAATACAAATACAATACTATACAACAATAAGTGGAAGAGGGCAAAATTACTCAATAACCATGTAAAGAGTTGGTGGCTCCAAATTATATAAATTTTTTGAAGATGATTAAAGAGAAATAAGGCCATAGACTTGCATCAAATTCCAACTTTTGAAAAAACAAAACAAAAAAAGACACTATTGTGGAGCACCCACGGAGTACCCACCCCGCACCCATTGAGTATCCACCGCGTACCCAACCATATACAGCGTACCCACCGCGTACTCATGGCATACTCAGCCATATACGGCATACTCGGTACGGTGCGTGCAGCCGTACCGGTATACGTACCCACACTCGGTAAGTACCCGGTACTTACGGCAAAATTTTTGGAGTACCTATACTTCATAGATCATCACACTTATATGACATGGAAGTTAACAAACATTATATGATAAATACTCAATCAAGCATTATTACAAGCTAATGAGCTATGATGATTTTATTACATCTGTCTAGAATAATTTGAACAACTCATACATAGGGCTACACATGCATGGCTGTTAACGTATTGGGTAATCTGATGGATTCTCCAAACAGAATAGTAAGTTAGACTGCACTAGCATAACAAGAAGTAACCATAAAAAGGACTGGATCAATAAACTAGACCATAGTGTGAAGACATCAAAATTTAATTTAAATTGTTTACACACAGTAAATCAATCAGTATTGATCTCCAAGGACAGCTATAGCTTGATTTTCGCATCCTGTGAAAATGCACATCAATACATTGTCACATTTAAGCGAACCAATGATGCATTGAGTGATCATTGTTTTCTCAAATAGGCAATCAAAACTCTTTACCAAACAAATTTTCTACACTCAAATCATAATTCCAAACCCCACAAACTCAAAATACAATTCATACTCTCAAATCATAATTACAAAACTCTACCAAACACAACCTTAGTTCTTCAGGCTCTCTGATTCAACTGAAAACTGACATTTCAGATTTGTAATTTCACTCTCAAGTTAAAGATGAGAAAATGAGATCCTATAATTTCTTTATAGTCTATAGAGGGTTGAAGTAAGTCATTCAAATTACATTTTGGTGTTACTACACATGGTTAAGCATAGGACAACTGTAATCTTTAATAACTCAGTTTAGCTATTTCACAAAATTTGATCTTAGTAATTCCGAGGATGTGTGGATCTAATTTGTATCATTTTCCTCCATGTCTACTGTACAGCAAGTTTCCCCAGCGATTAAAATTATCAAATTTAAAAATTAAAATTTTTGATGAACAATATTGTTGATTAATCGCATTATTCCTAGACCAAAATCAAATAAAAATATACACTCCTTACTTTCACTGAATCAAAAGACTATACATTAGTACAATTTTCCCTGTAAAAGAATGCACAGGGATAATAATCACCAAAAAAAAAAAAAAAAAATCATAGTTCAAACTTGAAAACATAATTAGTTTTCAAATATAAATTGCCAAGGAAAATTGACATCTATTATTAACTTCATGCATATGTTCCTCTCTCAATTTATACTGTGGGTGTTTGGGAAGTGGGTTTTTTTAGTTGTAGAATATTATTGGAGAAAATTTTTTTTGTATTTGAGAAGATAGTTGGGTTTTTTGTGGTTGGATGAGATGTTTGTGAGAGAAAAAATGAAATGATTATGGGGTTTTATATGATATTTTGTTTGGATTTGTTTTTTTAGTTTTGTAACCAATTTGTCTTTTAGTGAAAAAAAAACCAAAAAACAAACTTCCCAAACACCGCCACTATCGGATGACAAAAGTAGTATTCAGTTTCAGTGGCCCATGTTAAATCATGAATTTCAACACAAACTACAAATTTAAAATCATTTTACCACTTTTCAGATACAAAATTATTTAGGCAAGAGACTAGATAATCAAATTATTGCACTTTAATCAAGGAATCAACTAATTCATCCAGGCCAAGATCTTCACTATGTAGCTAATAAGACCAAACCTCACTTGATTGAATTTGGTATCAAATCTCTGAAACTGCATACATATAAGACTCTTGTAGCTACTCCTAAAAATCAAGAATCAGCCAAGTTGCCACTAATTCCACCAACATAGTAAAGCTTGACTAAAGATCATAAATGCAGAGGGGGCAAAGGAAAGATGGAGAAATTGGGTAAACTCACCTCACGAACGATTTGCTTTACTGATTTCTTGAAAGGGACAACCAAATCTACACGGTGCTCTTCTGGAGTATCTTGTGGGAAGTCATCATCATCCTCTTCTACATTTGAACGAGGCTCCAAAAGAGGCAAATAAAATAATAAGAAAGATCTCAATGATGTCATTGCGAGAGGTTTCAATCCAAAAGCTGAGAATATAGGCTTTAGTTCAATTCTGTACTCCTTGGTACTGTATTGCAGAGAATCAAGCTGGAAAATATTTCCAGACACATTTCTTATGCTGGAAATGTAATCCTCATCAGTAGATGCTACGCCGGCCTCACAATATGCAATTGATCTTCCAAAATTGCTGTATCATGAACACTGTGAGTTGATATATCATATATGAATAGGAGACACAGTACAAGTAATATATGTGTAGCATACTAGAGGAGGAATAACCACATTACACGTGTTTCTTATATCCTTGTATCAGTTATGCCAAATTCAATCTCTTTCTTGTATCAGTTTTGTTTATATGTCAAACTCAATCCTACAGCATATTGCCAAATGGCATCAATCTAAAGCAGAGAGACCAAAATTATATCAAAACTACTTCAAAGAACCAACAACAAAAAAAAAAAAGATCAAGCGTTTCCGTTCACAATGCCTCTAGTTCACAAACTGTCTGCAATTTGAGACTATTACTTAAAATACCATTTCAGTTTCTAAATCAGGCGAATCAAATAGTGAGAAAAAAAAATTAACTAATGAAAATATTATTAAAATCAAATTTTATTAACGCTGTATTTGCTTAGGGGATTTAGGGGAACGAATTGGGAAAGAAAAAGAAAAAATGTAAGTGAAATATGAATAAAATATACCTAATTTTACATACGTTTTCCCTTTCCTTTTCTAAATCTCATCTCAAATCCTCTAACCAAACACAGCGTAAGTAAACAAATTATCTCCGCAATGAAATTTTGATGATTACATCTTTGTTATCAGAATCTTGCGATTTGCGATTTGATTCACAATTTTTGCAAAATCGATACGAATCTATGGATAAATCTATTTTGGAAGTGAATCGCACAATTCATAATCAATTCACGATTCGATTCACTCTTTTACGATTCATGCAAATTTTGAAATTATTATGTCCGACATATTTTCGACTTTTTTTTCTCCATCTTTTTAGTGAAAATAACATAATACAACTTCTAATTGCATTTAATACTAAAATAAGCAACATATATACATGATTTTTTGTTATTTTAGTGATCATAGAGTTTTTAATAGGATCCAATCAGATTCAGTCAGACCCAACATATTGTTAACCTTTGTTCTCAATTTTTTTCCCTTTAAAAAATAATAATATATCTTCTAAAGATGTTTAAGATTAAAATTACACTATGAATTATCTATTGTTATTTTATTAAATTGAATATTACATGTTTGGGGTCAGTTATACCTTTTAAAATGTTTTACATTTTAAAATAAAATATTCTAAATAATTCTTTCTTATTATTTGCTCACTGTAACTTGGAAAAGTATGTATGTTTATTGTTCAAATATCAATATCATTATTAATTATTGTTACTTTGAAAATTGATAGTTTGTCTATTTGGTTATTATCTTTATTAAGAATGGTTGATGAGAAATATCTAAAAAAGAAAAAATGTATGATGGTGATCTTACATAGAAACTTTTGTTAACTTCTTACCTATTAAACTACTTGATTATCATTCAAAATAATATTTTCATTAATTTAAGTCTAAATATTTCATATTTATAAGATATATTTAAGCATCTAAATATATAGATATATGTTTTTAAGTAATTTAAAAAAAGTGACCGAATCTTTACGATTTACGATTCAATTCGATTCGATTCGCGATTCGATACAAGGCCATTTCAATTCACGATATATGGATTACATACTATAACGCATGAGATACATCATGACCCAAATCTCATTCAGTTCTCTACTTTTTAATTTGAAAACAACAATATCTATTCAAGAAGGTGAATAAAGCTTGGAAGGCTGCGCCTCAGTGTTTGATGAGGTCTAACTAGAGAGAAAGAGAGAGAAATCTTCTATGTATTCTCTCCAATTTTGGTTGATGGGGAAGTTTTGCAATACAATTTTTGCTTTTGTTGATTTTACAAAAGAACTTTAGTTTGTCAAGGTATAGTGCTTGTTCCCTGTGTAAAGTATTGCACTTTGAAGTGCTTTGTTTGATAAAGTTAGTTACTTATCAAAAACAAGTAAATAAATAAATGATTGCTTGTTTGGTCCAGGGACAGGACAACTTACAGAAAAAGGCATTAAAAACCTTATTATGAAATTTTGGGTTACAAAATTTGTTAATATTATGATTGTAATTTAATAAGTTTTATTTCTAATAAGCTTTCTAAAAAATTCTATTTAATAAATTTTATTTTATTGTCTAAAATTATATTATTGCACAACTTTTGTAGCAATCTAAAGGCGTTAAATCTAAAGAAAAAGAAAAAAGAAAAAAGAAAAAAGAAAAAAGAAAAAAAGAAAATATGTAAATACTTTTCTGCTTTCAATATCTCTGTTACACACTGCTCTTGTACTTTGTATGCTACAGTTTTATGATATTAGTTGTATATGTACTGTTCAATCAAGGTTTTGTTGTAGTTGTTCTATCTTAAACATATAATGAATCTCAGCTATCTCATCATCGTGATGATTTGAATTCGACTCTTGGGTTATAAATCCGCCTAATTTGTACCTATATCTATCTTGATTTGTAGTATAAGAAATTGCCAATAACAATACCAATGCATATATGTGTAGAGAGAGAGAGAGAGAGTACCCGAATAAAGCCCTAGAAGCAAAGGGGGTAGAGGCAGCAACAGAAGCGGCGGCAGTGGAAGCAGCGAGTGAGGCAGAGAATAAAGCGTACGAGTGTAGGGTTTGGCCACTCCAGCTTGGATTTTTCCTCAGTAGATCTAAGACTATGGCTATCCCCGCCATTCTTTGAAGCTCTATTCAATTCAATTCAATTCAAATCCAATCCAATCCAATCCAATCCAATCAAATCATACATACAGATACAGTGTAGTATTTTGGAAATCAACACCATGAATAACCAAATGATTCTTCTGCGAGTTTACGAACTTGAACTGATGGCTTGAGAAATCGATTTAGCTTTTGTATATTATTATATGTATCAGGTTAAGGACTGTTCAGTATGGAACTGGACTAGGGAAGAAAGAAAGGGAGAGGAAGAAGCCGAGACGAGAGAGAAAGAGAGAGAGAGAGAGAGTCCCGTCCCATTGGTCCAATCGTTTGTGCCAAGTTGTTGGCTTGAAAAAGGACACTGCGGGTTGCAAGTTTGGGCTGCCCGAACAATGGGCCTAGATAATTTTGGCCTGTTGAGGTTGGTTTGGGCTTATTTTCCCAGCAAAGCAATGGAGGCGCCATGGCCCTGGTTCATTGTCAAGAATTTTCTATGCAAAAAGTCAAATTAAAATGAAAGTAGGTGTTAGGGTTTTTTTGGTTAAATTTTTAGTTGTTGTGTTTGAAAAGTTATTAAATTTTTTTTAAAGTCAAAAATTAATGTGATATTTAATTTTTTTAATTGATGATAAATAAATTTAGTGATATTTTAATTATTTATTTTATTTTTAAACTAAAAGTTACTAACTTTTTTAATATGTGCTCAAACAATTTTTACGAAGAAGCCAAACAAACTATCATAATGGTTCTCTCAAAACTTTACCCATTGCATCATTAGCCTCTGTTTGGGAAGTGGGTTGGCTTTTTGACTTTTTTGGCTATTTTAGCTTGGGCTAAAAAGTTTGGTTTGGGAAGGACTTTTTGGCTTTTTTACTTTTTTGATTTTTTTTGTGAGAGAAGAATGTAATGATTATGGGTTGGATGTGATGTTTTGTTTTTTGTGGCTAAAATAGCCTATTTTATTTTTTGTGGCTATTTTAGCCCCAAATCAAGTTCCCAAACAAAGGCTATGAAGGATCTTTGACCAAATGTCTTATGTTTTCTCTCTAGAGATTGTTAATAGTTCGATTTTGAAGTAAATTAAAAATCAAATCACATGTTACGGTTTCAATAATTTTAGAATCAAATTAAACCATCAAATCTATAGAAACTAACCAAACCAAATCATTGATACAGTTGGAATCACAGTTCAAAGCTAAAAAAAACTTGATGCATATTCCAACGGGCCAATCACAAAATCGAGTGGGTTGGGCAATTAAGCAACTAAGTCAATTTTGCAACTAATACCTGAGTAACAATGCAAAGCTCAATGTCCAAATATCAGGAAGATTCAGTAGTATTAGGTGTATAGTAGGTATAATTATTCAAATTGAAATGTAAAAGCTTTGGAAACAAATTTAATTTTTTTATTACTAAAAATATATATAGGTGTATATTTTAAAATTATAATATATATACATTATTAAAGTGAGTATACACCAAAACTAGTCATTGTTTGGGAAGATAGGTTGGAATTGGCATTAAAATAGTCAAAAATAAATAAATTTTTTAGTCATAAATTTAAAAAATATTACATTTGAATCATAATTTTTTCTCATAAAAGTTAAAATAGTCAAAAAATTTATTCAAAATAAAACTTTTTAATTCCAAATTAAAATAATCAAAAAATTAAAAAATTAACCAACATCCCCAATGAGCTCTTATACTTTTGCACTATGTTTGGGAACCTATGAAAAAAAAAAAAAAAAAAAAAAAAAAGGGAACCTATGAAAAAAAAAAAAAAAAAAAGAAGAAGAAGAAGAAGATTACTTAAGACCATCTCCAACGGTTAAGCAATATCATCACCAAATTTGAATTTGGTGAAAAAAATAACTTTTTTTGCTCCAATGGTTTCATCAAAAATGAGAACTGTCCAAAAATTTCACCAAACTGAGAAGCTGAGCAAATTTCACCAAAATACTGTGTGTTTACGTTGGAGGTGGGTCCCACCAGACAACCGGCTGGACGTCTCATCGGTTGTCCCACAGGTCGTCTCACAGGTCGTCTCTTGCATACACATATATTATTAAACACATACACAAATACATACATACATACAAAGGGTTTTGTCATAAAACTTTTTTCTTACCTAATTCTCTCTCTCTCTCTGCGTCATTAATTGCTTCTGATTAGCTTCGCCGGCAGTTACAAATTATCTTTGAACTTTGTTCTTAGATTATCTTCTTTATTTGTTTTTGTTCTTCTGTGCCTTGATTGAATTTGGTGTTTTTGGTTTTAATTGCAAGAATTAATTGATTTTAAAGGTTACAAATTATCTTTAAACCTTGTTTTTAGATTATCTTCTTTATTTGTTTTTGTTCTTTTGTGCCTTGATTGAATTTGGTGTTTTTGGTTTTAATTGCAGGAATTAATTGATTTAAAAGGTTTTTTTGGGGGCAAATGTAGGGTTTTGTTGATGATATCAATAGCTTTTTTTGGTATTTTTTTTTAATGATTTGCTTAGTGGGTTTGAGCTATTTGGCATTTCATTGAGGTTTCAAGTGTAAAATTGGAGTTTTTTTTTTCCGATAAGATCGTTTGTGGGGTTTGTTAATATTTGGGCTTTTATTGCAGACATCAATGGTGGGTTGGAAATAATTGGGGTTAATCGTCTACAATTGGAAATTTTTTCTAGTTGGGTGAGGACATATCGGGAAAGAGATTATGAGAGCCTTTTTCGACGATTTTAAGGTCTGGAACTCAAAAATCTCTTGTGTTGAGCAGGGTAATTTTGGTTGTTGCTTGTGGTAATTGTGCTTGTGCTTGTGGGTGTGGACATCCATTGTTTATTGGGGGAAGAAAATGAGTTCAAGTGTTTCAAAAAGTGTAGTTTAGAGAGGGAAAAAAATTTTAGTCGCTTAACGAGTCGATCGGCCGATTGTCCCATCGGATATCTCCAGTCTTTTAATGTAAGTTACAGTACAACCATTGGAATACCTCGTATCAGATTGAGGAAATCACCTTTTTTCCCCTCAGATTTGATGAAAAAAATAGTTCATCGTTAGAGATGCTCTAAGTTATAAGAGAAAAGAAAAAAGAAATGAAATGATTGTGATTTTTCTCATTTTTATTTGAATAAGTAAGAAATAAAAGAAAAAATGATTTATCTCTTTATTATTTGGTTAGATTTTATAAGAGAAAATAAAAGTTACTGTTTTGTGTTATATTATCAAAATAACATTTTTATATTTTGTCAATCATTTTATTTCGTTTGATTTTATAGGGACAAAATTAATATTATAAAAATATAAAAATTTGTTAGTTTATTTTCTCTCAAAATCTCTCAATTTTTAGAAAGATTGAAAATGAAAGTTATAAGATAAATGGATTTCTTTCTATTTCTCTCAACTTAATTATTCAAACAAATAAAAAAAATACATATTTTTTCAATTTTTTTTATTTTTCTACAAAATACTCAATCCAAATACAGTGTTAATGCATTTTAAAAATAAATATGACATTACAATTTAATTTTAATTCGCCATCAATCAACAACAGTAAGCGGTCTTTCTTTTCTTTTACTAATTTTTTACCCCCGATTTATTCACCAATCCCGATTCGTTATCCGGATTCCACAGCCACAACATTGGTTTTGACAATTGAAATCCCGCCAAGTTCCAAACACCACTTTTCGATTTCGCCCAGAATTCGATGTTTTCTAGACGGCACAAATGAATATCTGAATTTTATCGACTGCAAGTTAATTTATTCGCTTGTTTTTCCGATTGAAATCACTAGGGTTTTGAAGAAACTTTCAGTCTAGGGTTTTGGTTTGATAATTTGCTTCAGAAAAAAATAAAAATAAAAATGAATCTGGGCGATCTCAACAAGGTTTGGGAAATCAAACCCCTCAAGAAGGTTGGAGAAGATGAGGCTAGGAAGATCCTAGAGAGAGTCGCGAAACAGGTTCAACCCATCATGCGTAAACACAATTGGAGAGTTAAGCTTCTCTCCGAATTCTGGTGAAGTTTTTTCTTCTCTTATTCTTCTGTTTGGTTGCCGAGAAGCTGTAGGAATTCGTTTATTGATCTCCTAAGCTACTTTTATACTTGTTATGTTTGATCAGCGTGAAATAGTAGTAGGAGCTTAGCAAACGAGGAAAATACAAAAAATAAAAAGCAAAAATTTGGGATTTATTTGTAGCCTATTGCTTTTTTGTTTGTTTTGTTTATATCTGTTTGTCTTTTCAAAAAAAGTAAGATTTATTTTATTTTATTTTATTTTTTGGGTGGGATTGAGAAGTATGCCAAAAAGAGGCATTGGGAATTTAGGATAATAATCTGATCATTTGATGGTCAAGAAAAGTGATCATCTTGACACTAGCATGGTTCAAATAAGATAACACCAATATAGTTTTCTGCCAGAAGAGAAGACATTGCTTGAACTAAGGAGCAAAGGGTGTCACAAACGCCATTATCATTTATAAAGCCACGTCTGTGCCACACAAGTGAAATTCAAGCTACAATTCGTAGTCATCTTCTTGCACAGTGTACTTGGCCACATTATAGGCTGCACATTTTACTGTCAGACATATCAAATTATATTAGTAGTTGAAACAAGAGGCACCCACACCCCCATCAAAACTAAATTATGGGTAGTAATCTGATTTTCTTATTAAACGATCATATCGGAGTTGTTACTCTAGATTCTTGCTCTGTTTTTAGTTCTATTTGAATGAAGAGAGGAGAAAAAAAAAGGGACTTCTGTTTGGTTACCAGGGGAAAAAAATTGAAGATTTTGGATCTTCCATTTAAGACAATAAAATGAAGCATTAATATAATGGACAAGGATACTACTATGTGGTAAGGTGTAAACTGATTGTCAATGATAGAATCAACTGCATATGATTGCGTATGCAAATTCTCATATTGCCTTCTGATTAAAGCAAACCTTTGTGCTAATTGTTAATCACATCACTTCTCAAAGTACCTTAAGGTTGTGTTTGGTTGGGGAATTTAGGGAGGGATTTGGAAACGAAAAGGAAAAAAATGTGTGAAATGAGGTGAAATGTAGGTATATTTTATTCAAATTTCACTTAATTTTTCTCTTTTCCTTTTTAAATCCTTTCCCAAATCCTCCAATCGAACACAGCCTAATGTAAATAAATTTTTGGTGTTTCGTTATTATGTCCAATCATATTCATTGGTGTAGTTACTAATTCTTTTTCTTTCATATCTGACATCACAAACTTTGTAAATTTTCTCTTACTTGTCCTTACTGATTGGTCTTAAATCGAGTTCAAGTTAAATATGTGTTGATTTTCATTTATTTATACTGATACGGGTTCATTCACAATATCAAACTAACCAAATATAATTAACATGCAGTCCGAACAATCCATCTCTTCTGGGGTTGAATGTAGGTGGTGGTGTGCATGTAAAGCTTAGGCTTCGAAGGCCAAACAGGGATTGGGATTTCTTCCCTTTTGATCAGATTCTTGACACAATGCTGCACGAACTTTGCCACAACGTGCACGGTCCTCACAATGCCAGTTTCTATAATCTCTGGGACGAAATCAGAAAGGTTTCTTTTTAATTTATTTTTTGTCGCTAGCTTCAGAGTAATCTGTGACTGTCAGAATGATTTGCCAAAGCAATAGTGTCAAATTGATTCGACAGCAGGTGTTGTTGCTTTGGAATTAGCACAACCTTCTTAATTTATATTCTTGTGTGCACCAATTGAAGCATTTTAAAGTTTATTGAAGAATTGAATGTTTTCTTGGCAAGAAAGGGAGCAAAATGGGAACTCTACACTTTTTTATCTGTCAAGAATTGTTATTTATTTATTTATTTGAGAATTCTCATTTTAACTTAAGCTAGCATATATAAAGAAACCATCATCCTCACCTGTGGAAATATTTTGGTCTTTTATGCCCTTGGGAGGGATATTATCTCCAACAATATGGGCTTTGTCTTGCCCGTTTCTTCCTAAAACTTGGATCACAAGGCTTGAGATAATGGCGATGGTCATCTCTCTTGTATTTTGACAAATTTATTACTTGAAAATGTGACATAAAGTACTCCCTGTGAAGATGTAATCTTGATGACATTACTAATAGTGGCTTATAAATGTACTTCCATTTGGTATCGAGCATGCCATTGGTGAGTGGAGGATCCTCAGCCAAGCCAAGGGGGTGGTTTGAATGATTTGAATCCTTGTCCTTGAGTGCCTATTCTCAAGGTCATATGTCATTGGTCCACATGTTACCTCACCAGGTGCCCAAAGGGGAGTATGTGGAAATATGTCATTAGTCCACATGTTACCTCACCAGGTGACATGCGGCACCATGTCCTTTGTAGATATTGACGTGGAGATGATGTGTGATTTTGACTTACACTACTTGGTCAAAATCTTTATTTTTGGGGTTTCAACATCTTCCCTCTCTATGAGTTCTGAAATTTTTAAAAATTTTAATTTATTGGCAAGGCAGTGTAATTTAGCATGATAGCATAGTTTATAGTGTATCTTTTGTTTGTTTAAGTTTTGTTTCGTGATGTGCAATCTTTATACTCTGTGTAATTTAAGGTTGTCTTAATGCTGTTGATGTTGGGATGTCTTATCTGAATATATCCGATTATATTATTTAGCATCCCCAACCCTAGTTTTTATTTAATTTTTTCAGGAATGGTTTAGATAAAGAATTAGTAATGTAGAGGATTACTGACTTTATTGCCTTATTGTTTTCTTGGTTATATATAACTGGCACGTACAGGAGTGTGAGGACCTAATGAACAAGGGCATAACTGGTAGTGCAGAGGGATTTGATCTTCCCGGGAGGCGTTTGGGTGGTTTCTCCCGTGCACCTCCTCTTCCCGCTCTGCGCCAAACGGCAGTAGCTGCTGCAGAAAAGAGAGCACGCTTGGGGTCTCTCCTACCATCTGGGCCTAAACGCCTTGGTGGTGATAGCTCAATAATGGTTGCACTTAGTCCAATACAAGCTGCTGCAATGGCTGCAGAAAGGAGATTACAGGATGACATATGGTGTGGCTCCCAGTCTTGTGAAGTATCTGGGGAATGTGAAATTAATTCTGATATCTCGGAGAAGACTGTTTATGTGGGGCATAGTGCTGGAAACTCGAGCCTTCAAAATGGTTTTGATGCACAAGCTGCAGATGCAACAGCACGAAAAAGAAGTCGTGAAAACAATTCATTATCTCAGTCATTTAATGGTCATCCAAAATCCAGTTTTGTTGATTTATCCACAGATGCTTCTACTTCTGGAACCATGCTTAATCATGCTGCAACACACAATACAGAAGAATTCACAATGTGGGAGTGTGTATCTTGCACCTTGTTGAATCCAGTAAGTGTTTTTTGCAAAAGATATTTAATGCATTCAACTGCATTATTTGTTTGCACATGCACTTTGCTATCGCATATTTTCTGAATAAAGAGGGGTTCTATACTGCCATGCTTTTGTTTTATACTATTAGTTTGTTACTGGTTGAATAGGATTATTAATTATCATTAGTGGTAACTTGCAAGATTTATGAATAAAGAGAATATGCTATGCTTTGCTTAGCTGGATGCTAGCCGACAGTTATGAAAATTTTGAGCGTCAACCTATGTTTGATGGTGCATGATCAAGTAGACATGTTAGATGCTTGTCTCATACCTTTATCCAAGTGTAGGTATTTGACACATGTACTTCAACCATTTAGAAGAATCCATGTAACACAGGTGTCTACCTCTTCGAATATAGATTACATTTCTGGATTGAAGTGCTTCTACCATGCTGCATAAAATTTGTACTAGGGAATTGCCATATACATATTTTCTGTGTTCCCTGGACTCACTTTGATTTTGTCATTGGAATGATGGTGGTTTGTTGCAGCCTCTGGCTCCTGTATGTGAGCTTTGCAGCACCCAAAAGCCCAAAGCTGTAGAAAACAAGTACAAAATCTGGTCATGTAAATTCTGTACCCTGGAAAACAGCGTGAAGGTAGAGAAATGCACAGCTTGTGGGCAGTGGAGATATTCTCATGGCTTACCTGTGGCTACTTTTGCACCAAATCTTGGCACTTGAGGTACTACTTGAATTGCTTAAAAAGTCTGTCCATCATTCAAAGTTGCCAGAATTCCAGTTATTTTGTTAATGAACTCTTTGTATTGGTGGTTATGCTCATTCAGCAGGAATTGAGAACGTTACTGTTCAGTTTGATCAAACCGACTTTATGTTCATATCCTTGGTCATTTTGTGTTTTCTCATTTCAAATGTGTGGTGGTTTGATTTATCCGTGTAGTATTGTTTTAAACCTTTTAAACTATACATAGCTGTATGTAGATCTCAGCCAAACTGAGGTTCTCACGAACATAGGCAATTATGATGAATTTTGAGCTGAGATTTTGAAATGGCCTACATGTGTTGATGATAGTGAGACCACGCGCACTTGTTGTATCATGCTTGGATTTTATTTTAATTGGGGAGCAAGTTTTAGCCTTTTCTACTCTGCTTGTGACTGATGATGTTGCACAACCTTGAATTGAACCATGTTGAAGTTTGGTGACCAAATTAATCTCTTATCTTTGGTTCCCTCTTCTTAAATCTTGATTTTGAATCCTGTATATGATCATCTGGTTAAATTCCCATTTGAATTTTTTGAGAATGGATCTTGTGAAAGGTTATTTCTGTCAATTTACATTGTCAAATGTGGGGTTGAACAATTGTTAGGGAATATAGATAAAGTGAAACCTCACAAGTTGCCCAAAAAAAAGAAGAAACACGGAAATTGATATCTTGCAGTGGGGACCATTGCAGATCACATGTTATGAGATGAGATTAACCAATAGCCTCCACATCCTTTTTTATTTTTTTATTGAGTCGCATCTAACACAACAATTTAGGATTTATCACAACCGTACACGTGGTTCCCAAATTGCTTATTAAAATCTCTCTCCCCTCCATTTTATGGGGGTGGAAGCTGGGAGAATAATATGAAGGTCAAGCAAATCAAAGCAACATTTAAAAAATAAAAAATAAAAAAAAAAATAAGAAAGAAAGAAAGAATAAAGAAATAAGAAATAAGATGATTCCTATTCTCATTTGGGGATCTTAGAAAAATCCATTTAGATAATTCCATTTATGCCAAACAAGTTCTGTTTTCTTTAATTCAGTTACTGCAACATCGGTTTTGGGTACATAAACTAACCAAGAAGATTGAGTAGCACAGAGTCCAAACCTAATTGATCAGGCTTGACTTTGAATGTTGACCAAGTTTGTGTTTTTGGATTTATAAATTTGGAATGAGAGGAATTGATACAATTCGTTTAAAGGAAATAATTTAAAAATAAATTTTAAGATTGAATTTGAAAACTTTGTCACGACAAAATTGAAATAACAAAGTAAAAATAGTTATTTGAAACTTAAGTTCAAGTTTGAGAATGATTTTAATTAAATATTTATCTTCCCTTTTATAGTTTTTCAATTCACCTTATTGGAAAATATGTACAAGTGAAAGCAATGGAATGACAAGTGTACCTTGACTACACACATTTATAAATATGAAATCTTCTTATTTTATCGGCGAAACATTGTTACAATGATTAAACGGGCCTCTTGAGTCCACAAGCTAAAATCCATTTTCACACTTTCTTACTTTAAATGATATACTTACACACATGCCTATCGTTTCAAATTTAAAAAGCACCATGCAACAATTTTTTTTCTATCATATGATAATTACATCCTAATAATGGTGACTATTCATTCAAAATAATAGATTAAAAGTGACACATGAATGTTTGGTTTAATAAAACCTGACACATATATTGATATTCTATAACAACTTCATCACTTATATTTTTATAGAATTCATCCTTAAATTTTCCGAACAAGATGGTAGAATTCATTCTTAAAATGATGCTAATTGGATGCAACTAATGTTATTTATCATGTTGTTTAGGTGGGCTAGCTCTTCAAATCTTCAGAACAAATTGGAAATCTCTGAAATCTATAAATAGCAAAGAATGAAATGGGGAAGAAAAGTGTAAGGTGGGTGGTCCATAAATATGATCGATTTTGAATGTGATCAAAATTGATCTTCAATAATGTGATCAATTTTGAATGTGATCTTCAATAATGTGGTCGATAAATATAAAATACAATAATGTGAATGTGATCAATTTTGATCTTCAAGTTAGGTCTGACTTTTCAGTTTTACCAGTCTCTTGTAATGATTAATTGCTTTGTAATCACTATTGTTATCCAGAAAGGCAACCTAAGATGGAAGAATTGGGTTATTACAAATAATTTTACAATATTAATTATAGTAATAAAAATATTTGAATTTCAACAAATAAAATAACAGAATAGTACTAATCAATATAAAAATAAAAGAGATAGGGAAAGAAAGAAAATCAAACACAACAATTTATAATAGTTCGGCATGCCGAATTTACGCCCTCTCCCCAAGTATTCTCCTTGAAAATTTCTCCACTATTCTTCAAATAGTAATTACACCACTAGTTTCACGGATGCTAGTGAATCTCAACAACAAGTGACCAAATCCAATCACTTCGGCTAACTTAGAATCCGATGCCTAGTCACATCTAACCTAAGTAATTTTATTCCGAAAAATCACTCACAAAAATTCTCTTTTACAAGAATAATAGGAAGTGTGGGAAAGCCCTTTTACAATTTTTACTCAAATTCTCAAAAAATTTTCTCACAAAAAATACAGCTTAATGAAGCACAATACAATAAACAAGAATATTTCAATATAATAGATTTTTCTCTTCTTCACTTCATGTCTTTTTTTTTCTCTACAAAGTTTCTTTTACAGCCATAGAAAAAATATAGCCGTTGGATGGATTCTAGGTAGACCCCTATTTCTTTTTTTATGTTTCTTCCATTTGAATTCATTAGCCATTGGACTTGCATCATTCTTGTCAAGAAACACTTCAAATCAATCAAAGGAAGAGAATGAATAAGAAAATATATGGAAAGAATTTGAATTAAATTAAGTATTCAAAAGATACACAATAAATTCAGTTATTTTTAAATCGGTGCAATCTATATCAAAATAACAAATTTTATTTTCATATTTTATGTCAAATGATTGTAAAAAAAAGTATATTAAAAAATTAAAATTTATCTCATAATATTTTAGATATCATCAAAATTAAACTATATGATTAACACCTACCTTTTATTTTGGTTGAGTTTTTAAAATATATTTTAAATTTTATTATAAATAAATTAAAAATTAATTTGATAAAAATAAATACTATTTTTTTTTTGAATTTAAAAAAATTACTTCAACTCCCAAAAATAAAAAATTATTTGAAAATAATGAGTGTTTTTTACTTTTTATTTATTTTTTCACCAAATCTATTTTTAAACAATTTTTTAAAAAATGTTTGACATCCTTACCTCTCAAAAAATTTTATTATAAATAAATTAAAAATTAATTTGATAAAAATAAATACTATTTTTTTTTTGAATTTAAAAAAATTACTTCAACTCCCAAAAATAAAAAATTATTTGAAAATAATGAGTGTTTTTTACTTTTTATTTATTTTTTCACCAAATCAATTTTTAAACAATTTTTAAAAAAATGTTTGACATCCTTACCTCTGAAATGGAGGTGACCAGTTAAAACACAAAATATACATAAAAAAATATTAAAATATATTATGTGATTAAAATTTATTTTAGACATTCAAACTGAATTTTAGACACAATACATTTTTTTTTGTGTACATTTTGGGTGTGTTTGGTTTGGTTTTGAGAGGTAAATTTTTAAAAAATATTTTGGGGAGAGAGTTTAGAAATTTTTTTAATTTGTTTGGTTATATATTTTGGAAATAGTTTTGGAGTATGGGAGTTTGGAATGAATTGATATTTTGTTATAATTGAGTAGATGTGAGTGAGAGAAAAAGTGATTGAGAATAAGAGATCAGAGAGAAAAATTGATTGATTGATGTGTAAGAGAGAAAAAGTGATTTTGAATTTTTTTTTCTAAAATCACTAAACCAAACAAAATTTTTTAAAATTTCCTCCAAAATTTATTTATCAAAACCAAACCAAACCAGGCGTATATATTTTAATTCTATTCACGTACCGTTATTGGAGCGACTATATCAGCCCAATTAACTGATTAGTTCTTTATAAAAAATAATCATTTAATAATCACTGGGGGTCGCGGCATTGTTGATTGTGTTGTTTTAGCATATTATTGTATCACAATGTTACATAATGTAAAAATAATGCTACATATAATTTTATTTTTTATCTTATTTTTTCACTCCTAAATACAAAGCAATAAGATTTACATTCATAAAGCGGTGCATAAGAAAGATATCGCCTATCAAACCCTTGATCCATCATATTGGAGCAATTCGATAACAACAATTAGAGTCATATTCTATCATTCCTACAATGGCCATAGACTAAGTGCTTTACTTCAGATCAATTCTTTCACTACAATCACTCTTTAATAGATCATGAGTGGGGGTATGTTGTCCCCCTCATTTAACCCTATTCTATCATGTCCAGAACTACTTTGATGTTTACATATCTAATGATTGGTGGTAAGCAGGCAAAATAAAATCCAATTAAGCTTTGGAAAAGTTTGAGTGAAGAAGATCAAATTTATTTTTTCAATTTATCATTAGCAATCCACAGAAGTCAACTTACCAAGTTACAAATGCAGCTTTAGTAAGACACCGATTGAGCTATTTTCCCAGCAAGCCATGTTGAACCATCCAAGCTTTGAACTGCTGAATAACTTCCACAAATGGAATAGCTGCATCATGCCAAATGTTGCAAATCTACATAATTGATATCACCTTACCATCAAAGTTAAAGAAAATCAAAGTTTGTTCTTCATGGATATCATCCAGCAGATTTTGTAGTAATTTTTTTCAAACTTCGGATAGTACAAGATACCATGGATTTGCATTAGCATAAATTAGAGATTGCCATGCACCTGATGAATTATATAGTCCTTGACAAACCCCAGAATTAACAAAGGGAAGGCTAATATAGGGATATATAATTTGTTGAAACAAAGAAATCTCATCATATGTGCATAAAAATACCTTGAGTGTTTAATTGTAGATGTGACTCTCAGATAATTGTAAAATTCATACTAAGATGTAGGAATATTGTATTAATCATCTGCCATACCTAAAGCATTCCAAGTTTTCTTTCTAATCAAACCTTATAATATAAGAAAATAACATAATTTAGGCATACATGCATCAATCGCATGGTTGGAAGAAGTTCATCCTAAATCATTTAAGCACACAATGAAGAAGAGTGCAATTATTTGGATACAATGGAAGTCCAATAGAATAAACAGAAAAACATGTATTGTTATTCTAGTCAATCACTCTGTTAGATTAAATGATTCACAAACATATGAAGTCTCTAGAAGAACGTCTACAATAAGAAACACTATAAACACTGATTTTCATCCCTTTTGTTATACCTCTGTATTAATTGGTTCTGTGTATTAGTTAAAAATCTAGCTCAGGCAATTCATTAGTTCTGTCTAGCGGTTCTCAAGGATTTAGATTTTGAATAGTTGGTTCAATTTACTGACATAGGCACAAATGGGGCTAAATCCAGCAATTTATTATGATTGTAATGTTTGAAAGGATCAGTAAACTAAACCCTAAACCCTAAAACATTATTTGTATTCCTCATACTCTGCTACTGCATCGATCCTTAAAAATCCGTTTTCATCATTCTCCTTTTGGTGAAAACAAATGCAGATATTTCATACTGCACTGTGAATGATTTTGTTGGCAGGGTAAGGCATCTCTATGTTGCATCGTTATATTTAAAGTTACCATATTTTCCTTCTACAAATTTTTTTCTTTGGGAATGAGTTTGACCTTGGAATCATCCTTCAAATTAATGAACTAACCAAGATAATAAAGAAAGGTTACTTAGAAAACATCTTGCATAAAGCTTTAGATTAAATGAACTCACTCAATCATTAAAGACATATCCCACTTGTTACCACATTGTTCATTCTCCTTTTGGTGAAAACAAATGCAGATATTTCATACTGCACTGTGAATGATTTTGTTGGCAGGGTAAGGCATCTCTACGTTGCATCGTTATATTTAAAGTTACCATATTTTCCTTCTACAAATTTTTTTCTTTGGGAATGAGTTTGACCTTGGAATCATCCTTCAAATTAATGAACTAACCAAGATAATAGAGAAAGGTTACTTAGAAAACATCTTGCGTAAAGCTTTAGATTAAATGAACTCACTCAATCATTAAAGACATATCCTACTTGTTACCGCATTGTAGAATTAACAAAATGATAATGTAGACTGAACCCACATGTTGCAAGGTGGTTTTGCAACATTTTAGCAATGTTGTTAAAATTGGCAACAAAATGCAGACTTAAATTTGTTCTGATAAAAAATTATATGTATTACATCTTGTGGAGATATTGCCTAGTTGCTGGTGCAATAACGCTAGCACAATGTTTGTTCTATAGAAATTTGTTTCCTTCAATTTCTCATCTGTAAACTCATCATCTCTCTTGTTGTCTTCATATCTTTAAGATTTTCTTTAGGTACTAAAAGATTACAAAATTAAGAATGTATCAATATGGATTTCCAAAATGAGTGAAGCAGTAGACATACCGGTTTAAAACTACATCTCATAGGTTGCAAAGAATTAAAACTAGGCACATCACAATTCAAATAGCATCATGCTTTATAATATGAGAAGGGAAATGTCATACAAACAAAATTTATATGCAAAAAAATCACACAGAACGATATGTCTCATTATATATATTCATTGGAAGTCAAAATGCTTCATTATTTTGATTCATAATTGTAAGAATTGCGTTACCACACCATTCTTGTCTTAAATTTTGTATGATTCTATTTGAATATCAATTTCCATATGAGAATTACATGGATCTAGACCTCATGACAATACCTAACTACATAGACATACCACCAAAAGCCTTCAAATGAAGCATGACTTAGTTGAATATTCATATTACAGTAGAGCTAAGAAACGCAGGTCAATCTTGATAATCTATTTTTTGAAAACAAAAATTGCCTGGTCACTTAACCAAAAAAGAAAAAAAAGGAAAAAAAAACAAAAACAAAAGAAAGAACAAAGTCTCATTCTCCAAACATTTTGAAATTTTTTGAGTTATTTTTTAGTTCACAGTTAATGAGGTACGTTAAAAGTAAAATGAACAAAATATATTGTATCAAAGGAGATGAATAATCAACATACAATTGGAACCATTGCCAAAGAAAATGAACAACGAAGAAACTAAAGAAATGATATGAAACAAAGATAATTTAAAACAGGAAAGAGCAATAAACAGAACATGCTTAATTCCAATTACATACAGTGTATTGATACAGTGAACACATAATGGCATACAATTTCCAAAAGACAGTTTTGATACAACAAACATCGTTTGATTTCCATATGCTAGTTGATTAGGCAAGCAAGGTAAAAAAGATTCTTAATTCTAAAGCACATATATGGAAAATTTTTGAAACTGGAATTAAGAAAATAAATTAAAACACATGGATCAAATTATGATATCAAGGTAGTGTTTGGTAACGTTTACGTTTTTTGTTTATGTTTACAAAAATTTTATAAACTGGTTTTTGTTTATTTTTAGGAAAACATAAACTACAAATGCGTTTGATTTGAACAAAATGTTTGAAAAATTTTAAAAACATAAACTAAAAAATATGGTTGTTCAGGCCTAAAATATATGTATTTATTTTTTATTATTTATGACAATGGGATCATACACATTATAATTGAAAAAAAACTAATCAAAAAAAATTATTTGGAAAAAAATTTATTTGAAAAAAAAATTTGTTAGTCAAATTTTTAAATTTCTGTTTAAAAACTAACGTGAACTCATTTTTTGAGTTTACATTTTTTCCTCAAATTTACAAACTGAAACAACTATTTATAAACCAAAAAAGTTATCAAACAAGTTTTTATGACAATTTTTAAAATTTTTGTAAATATAAACTGAAAATTGAAAATGAAATGACTACTAAACAGACCCCAAAAGATTCATGACAACCTGGAAACTCACTTGTTGTCTAATATGTCAACAAAATCAATGGCCATAAACTCATCCTCAACCCAAAGTCTAATCTCAAGAGAATTGAAAATGCAAATGACCATTCACCTAGTGTGAACTTGGCATGCTACTGAGTTTCAAAAAGCACAAGTTGGATATATATGTTTCAAATAATTATTAAAAGAGATATCAATCTTATCAATTGGCAACTCCCAAAACTCTACAAACAAATAATACTGAGGGGAGGACATACTCTTAGGTTGAATAATTAGATTGACCTTCTCTCCCCTTCCCATGGTGTTGAGTGTTTTTGGCAGTGTTGGACAAAATGGCCTAAAGAATCAAGCATAACGATTTTCCCGTAAAAGATGTCAGTGGAACTATACCCCTTATACTTCACTGGATTATAAATGTTTAATCCAAAACATTGAAAACAAATGCAAATCATTATTTTAATAGCCAATTACCATCTTTCACATGAAATTCGACTCTTTTCTGGTGTTGTTGTAACCATAGCACCATCATTCAACCTCAGTTGATACTTGACTGCACCAGAAACCAAAAAAATTCCTTGAATCGTTGTTCTAACAAGAATAATAACAGTTGAAAACTGCAGCCTAAATAGGCTGGCCTTGCACCATCATCCAGCCTCACTTGATACTTGACTGCATCAGAAACCAAAAAAATTCCTTGAGTCGTTGTTCTAACAAGAATAATAGCAGTTGAAAATTGCAGCCTAAATAGGGCTGGCCTTGACTTTTTTAGGGCCCAAGGCAAACTCAAAAAATGAGGCTCAAATCATCATACATATTTTAATATTGAGATAAATTTTAAACATTTTTGATTGTTAACATTATTAGTTTATTCACACTTCCTGACGTGGTAGATTGAATTGTAAAATTTGATAAACTTCAACTTAAAAAAAAAAAAATTTCTAAAGACAATTATAATTGGTATAGTCAAATAATATTCTATAAATAATTCATGCATTTGGCAAACAATCATCCATTACTTTTAAATAATTCACGAATTCAATTGTTTAAAAAAAAATTAAAATTTCATATTTAAACTACTAATACTATTATGTAGTATTTGGTTCATTGAAATGAAATGAAATTAAATAGAATAATCATTTCTTAATAGTCTTTTTGGACATTACGTTAGAGTGATTTTCATTTTATTTTATTTTTTAATTTCAATGAACCAAACATAACTTAAGATCAAAAATTATTTGGGGGTCCTATTTTTTAGACAAAATTTGGGGGCCCAAGGCAATAGTCTTGCTCACTATGCCTCAGGGCCGGCCCCGAGCCTAAACAACCTAAAAACATAGAACTTGTTATCAATGAAAATCATATGGAATCAAATAATTAATAATAAACAAACAAGTTATATTACCGAGAACATAATTTGAATTACTGGGTGGGCCAATTTGTTCTCCCTTCTCCATCACTTTCTTAATAATTCCACCATCCTTGCAAACATCTATACTAACACAATTGAGAGGGACACTATTTCTGCCTGTGGTTCATAACCCAAATCAGGGGCAGCATGAACAATGCCATCTCCCCCTTCTTTATGGTAATGATTGCATGGTCCAATACCACTTGACCTAACCAACCCATCAATAAACCAATCAAGTTGACAGAACCCAAAAGTAACTCCATGAAAATAAAGAATCACAATGAAATACTTTTTTGTCACGACCCAAACCCGGCCCTATAAGTTTAGCCCCGTAACTGGCCAGTAATCCGTGATTACCAAAGGTCTGTTTAACAATAATGGCAATAATACAATATAAAAGGGCTGGTTGAAGCCAATCAATAATAATATACATCGTCCAATGAGCTCTGAGGACCTGAATGGAAATAAACTTTCATATACATAGTTATATACATGAACACTTATGTCCATAAAGCTCATATATACAAGACAAAACACAATGTAGGGAATTAAATCCCATTATCGAAAACAATATTAACAAAAGTCATAAAACATTCATTTCACTTGACCAATATCAAAGGGGTGAATTTGAACCACCTAAAAAGCCTTGACACGTGTTGGTTCGGAACCTCGCGATGAGGCACAATAGCTGGCTTGACAAAACAAGGGTTCGGGTTGACGCCACTAGCTTTGATCTGGTGCTCGATCACCTACATATATATAATAAACAGTGAGCTAGAGCCCAATGAATAATAGATATGTAAAGAGGTTAAGAATGATGCCCTTACAGTCTTTGAAACAATCGATTAGTATTAGAACATTTTCAATCAATATCATTTGTCAATCAATCATTCAATTTGATCAATTCGATCCATCATATTCATATAGCTCATACGTGGTACATCCAATAGTAACAATACACTAGGTCTTAAAAGACCGAACAATCAATTGATGGCCATCATACAATAACAATAGTTCCAAGATTTGGAACTGACAAAGATCTCTGTAACAATAACAATGTCAATAACAATAACAATTACAATACGCTATGGATGCCACGAATACAGTTCAAAATAGGATCATCATTCAATTGATAAAAAGTATCATTTCAGAAAGCAATATAATTTATCAATCTGAAAATAAATACGATTGAACATATCTTTACGACATTGTTACTCACAATGGGCTCCTCGATACACGTACTATTGGTTCGGCATTTGACCTAAACAATTAAAGTCAAGCACAACACAATTACAATCACACTCTTATAATTCTATTCAATTCGATTGTTCAATCTCTATTCGTTTTCTCTCATTTGATTCTAATTTTTCATTCGGTTATTCCTATTTATTTTTCTTCCATTCCTTTTAAATATGGATGACTAGTATTAGGAATAAATTAGATTATTAACCTCCAATTAAAATATGTTTAGCTATGCATTAACCAAACTAGTTAAATATAAATAATCTAATCATATACCAACCCTTATTAAGTTCATTAATTACACAATCAAACTTAAATTAGGCTCATACACATTAAATTACGATTATTCAGTCATGTTTAAATTACTGAATCAGAAACTCATAAATATGTACATTTTGCAATTTCAACTCCATTTTCAAGCAAATCAAGGCCCAAATAATTAATCTTCACATTATTTCCATAATCTTAAAGCCTAACTCAATTTCAATTGAATTTAATTAATTCTCAATTAAGGCTTAATTTGACTACATCTAATTTTACAAACCTAAATCAGATTTTTAATTGAATTCTTATAAGGCTCTAAATATCAAATTAAACTCATTCTTCCATTTTTGAAACTCAATTTCATGAAACATCCATTTTCTTGAACCCAAGCTCTAATTCATGTTTAATCTCTTCTCAAACTCCATGAATCATGTTTGAAAATAAGTTTAGAAAACAATTGTTTTGTTCATGGATTCTTGAAATCATGACATGCATGTAAGGATCATGCAAACTAATAGTTGTTTGAACTAAAATTATGCCATGCATGTTGAGTTTAAAAATTAATTCATCTAAGTTCTTATATGGTCATGAATATTTCACTTCAAGATTTGGCATGTATAAACATAAACCTTGCCATACTAAGCTTCAATTTCCCAATTCCTATGGAGTTTCGACTTCAATTTGGAGGTGTATGTAAGAACATGAATGTATGATCATGGATATTTATGAATCTTGCCATGCATGTATCAATATGAACTAATCTTCCATTAAACTTATATTCTTCTTGCTTACACTTAAATTCTTTAACTTATGAGTATAAATCTTCAAATACATTCAACTACATGAGATTAGGGAGGAGAATTCTTACCTAAAGTGAACAATTTGAGTTGTGTTGAATGTTTTACCCTAACCCTTTCTTCAATTTCTTCTTCTTCTTCTAATCTTTGTTGAACTCTCAAATGTTTACTCTCCCTTTCTCACTCTACGTGTATTGCACAGGAAGACCCACAAGTTCTTTACTTTACTCCATTGATGAGTGGGACTCCATTGATGAGTGGGATTTATTTATTATTCATTTTTTTTTGTTTTGTTTTGTATATATATAGATATATCATCTAATTCTTCAAAGTTAACTAAAGCTAATAATAAATCACATTAATTAATGTAAGTCAAATTCACTCACTTAAATTAATTCTCATCATTTTGTAATCTCAATTACACTATATTAAGTTATACTAATGTGAATTAGGCTCTGGTTCCTATCCGATTATTTAATTCTAACTTGTTAAAATTAACGAATCTGACAAGTTTAATTTTCATTCTAACCTATCTGTTTAAACAATACAAGTCAATAAATCTCATAACAATCAATAACACTTAATCACATAATTAACATATAGGAACATAATTAATACTTCCAATTAAGACTTAATTCAATCACAGACAATTTAAGTAAACTAAATCAATTTTTAATTAAACTTCCCAAATTGCTCTAAAAATTCCTATGAACCTATCCATGTACTCAATTTCAATTTGTGTGCTCAATAAGATCGTCGATTTCAGTTTCAAAGTTGTAACCTTAACAAGTAAATTTTCAATTTGGACAGATATGCACAAATTAGTTCAATTAGAATTAACACATAATTAATTAACTAAAATCACGATTAGCAAGTCTGGGTCGTCATCCTTTTGCATCTGAAAGTACCAAGTTTTCAATGCTTTGTTTTTGAATTTTAATGTAATGTCTTTAAAGCTAGAAATCCATCAATTTTGTTAATGGAGATAGCAGTCTTTAGCATCATTGGTATAGTTTCTGAATATAAGTTCTCTAACTTTTATGAGCATTCACCCATTTTCAATGGGTTATTTTGTGGGTAAATAGGTTATGCTCATTTGTTGCTCACAACAATGGCTCTCATTGATTGCATTTATTTTGCATTGTTGAGCATAGATGGGGTTTTATTGGAAGCTTGAATATATATATATATATATATGATTATGTTAATAAGTTTTCAGTTAGGGAAGGCCTCTAATTTTTTGGTCTGTATATTCAGGCATATTGTCGAACAGATGGTGTGCCTAATTTGTGTATGCACTAATAGGCAACCATGAGAACAGAGGCATGCAAATCAGATGTCAATATATCCTTATATAGCAGAAAAAGGAGTAGAAAACCACTAAATTACATACCAGATTGTGGAGTTTGGGTTATAATTTGTGAACCCAGAAACAACGAAGTTGAACTAAGATAGGAAGTGAAACAGAACAAAGAGTATAGACATATATATATATGGTGCACCGACTGGCCAACTCTTTTTTCCAACCCACGTAGCTGCACAAGTAAACAAAGAGCACCACCTCGTCCAACTGATATTTTGCATGTACCAATTTCATCGCATCCCAACACATGGCCAAACTTCACCAAAAAAGAGAAAAAAAAAAAAATTAATTTCATGTTTGAAGTTGATAATAAAAAAGATGAAACTAGCATCTCTCCTTCAAGTTGAAAACAATCATTTTTTTCAACTTATTTAATCTATTTTTGCAGCATAAATGATATACAAAAATTGTACCAAACACTCTTGCGCATGGTCTTAAAAAAAAAAAACTATCTAAGCAGATAGAATAAGCTAAATCAAACAAGGCCAATGTCTTCTGTGACAATCGTCCATTGTAGGACTTTCAACTTGAGCTACATAGTGTTCATAGGTTGGAAGTGCATTATGTGTTATTAAATAAATTGATTTGCCTAAATTGAAGTTGGTTTTATGCTTTTTTTTAAGATAAATAATTTTTTTCTAAAAACAAATAACATAAACAAGTAAAATTTTCTACTGCATTACTGACCTGAATTTTTAGTTCCTGCAAAACCTGGCACCTTCAGAATTCTATCTTGGTTGCTTTCAACTGCATATGGTTTTAAGTGAATATATTCGTATTCATATTTTCAACAAGTCTAATGGTTATACTGTGGTTTACAAATACCATCAGGAAGATTTCATTAATTACCTGTGCTTGAGCTCACTTCACATTGTGAACTTTCACAAGTATCAACTTTGTCATGATTGATATAAACCTTGAAACCTGCCAAGAGAAACTTAGCATGAAAGAAACCATATGAAACCATAGCAAAATAACCATTCAAAGTCTTATAACAAAAACAGGCAAGTTAATTCGTTTGGAATGTTTTGATATGAAGGAATAAAATAAAATAAACCAATTTCATTGGCAATAAATATCATGAGCATATGAACATAATAAGTTTTCTCTTATAGGTATATTGTCAAACACAATGTGTGCAAGGTATACATATTAACAAACACTGATTTAACACACAAACGTACAAATCCAATACCAACATCTGCAAACCAAAGAAATTGAAGATCATGATGTGTAATCATCTAATGTATAAACAAAACAAAAGGTTTGTAATAATGTATTACGAGGTGGAGCAATTTGGGAGTCTTCTGTTTAGGAGCTTATCTATGTACATGGTGAATAAAAAATCGTAGACGTTGAATATATAGGATTGATGATTTTGTACAATCGATTCACCACCACAGAATATTGGACATTGTATGTAGATGTATTCGATTGGGTCCTCATCCAGTGCAGCGGCAGAATGCCGTCCCAACTATTTCTCCACAAATGATGCACTGACTGAATGAACTTTCTAGGAGGAAGACTTGGAGGGTGTGGGATGGCCCTCATTCGATGTAGTTGAGGGAGTAGACAAATTGAACTGCTTTGGCAGGTTCGATCTTCTTCCAAAGAATAGTATTGGGTTCTAGAAATTTCTGATGAACCAAATGAGAACCAGAAAAATAGATCTTTTCTTCACATGGGTGGGTTGTAATAGAAAAGCTCTAGAAAATAGGCAGCAGGAGCGCTGATCTTGGAAATTTCTAGGAGTGGTGAAATTTGTCTTCTTCTTCTATTGTGTATGTGGATGATTTGAAGACCCCCATGTGTAGCCCAAAATCTGCAAGGAAAGAGTAAGAAACCAAGCAAACAGGAGCGTTGTATCATTGCAAGCAGTAGCGTTATACCACTGTTACACACTTTAAACTTTTAATGTGGGTTATAGATATTGAAGACAAGTAAATCTTATAATATAAGGGTGCAACTCGGGCGGGTTCGATCGGGTTAAGAGGTTGTCTAAGCCCAGTCTAAGTTGTGCAGAGACCTGCCTAGACCCGAATTATAATCCGAGGTTGCATGTCCCAGCCCGACTCGAGTTAAATCGGAATTATTTGAGTTGCCCGAATTATCCAAATTGTAAATGAATTTCAATTTTTTTTTTGTAGCTATATTATTAAATTGTTAAAATTTGACTATATATATATATATATATTTATAGAAAATCATTAATATCGTCAAAACAAATAATTTATACAATATAAGAGAAATGTCGCTATAGTAGTTTTTACAATCTATAAGTGAAAATAAAAAAAAAAAAAAGTATGATTTTATGTTATTTGTATATATACTATATATTCAATATGATTTAATAATCTAAATTACTTTAATATTACAAAAATTGTATCAAAACACTCTTGCGCATATTCTTTAAAAAAAAAAAAAAACTATATAAGAAGATAGAATAAGCTAAACCAAACAAGGCCAATGTCTTCTGTGACAATCGTCCATTGTAGGACTTTCAACTTGAGCTACATAGTGTTCATAGGTTGGAAGTGCATTATGTGTTATTAAATAAATTGATTTGCCTAAATTGAAGTTGGTTTTATGCTTTTTTTTAAGATAAATAATTTTTTTCTAAAAACAAATAACATAAACAAGTAAAATTTTCTACTGCATTACTGACCTGAATTTTTAGTTCCTGCAAAACCTGGCACCTTCAGAATTCTATCTTGGTTGCTTTCAGCTGCATATGGTTTTAAGTGAATATATTCGTATTCATATTTTCAACATGTCTAATGGTTATACTGTGGTTTACAAATACCATCGGGAAGATTTCATTAATTACCTGTGCTTGAACTCACTTCACATTGTGAACTTTCACAAGTATCAACTTTGTCATGATTGATATAAACCTTGAAACCTGCCAAGAGAAACTTAGCATGAAAGAAACCATAGCAAAATAACCATTCAAAGTCTTATATGACAAAAACAGGCAAGTTAATTCGTTTGGAATGTTTTGATATGAAGGAATAAAATAAAATAAACCAATTTCATTGGCAATAAATATCATAAGCATATGCACATAATAAGTTTTCTCTTATAGGTATATTGTCAAACATAATGTGTGCAAGGTATACATATTAACAAACATTGATTTAACACACAAACGTACAAATCCAATACCAACATCTGCAAACAAAAGAAATTGAAGATCATGATGTGTAATCATCTAATGTATAAACAAAACAAAAGGTTTGTAATAATGTATTACAAGGTGGAGCAATTTGGGAGTCTTCTGTTTAGGAGCTTATCTATGTACATGATGAATAAAAAATCGTAGACGTTGAATATATAGGATTGATGATTTTGTACAATCGATTCACCACCACAGAATATTGGACATTGTATGTAGATGTATTCGATTGGGTCCTCATCCAGTGTAGTGGCGGAATGTCGTCCCAACTATTTCTCTACAAATGATGCACTGACTGAATGAACTTTCAAGGAGGAAGACTTGGAGGGTGTGGGATGGCCCTCATTCGATGTAGTTGAGGGAGTAGACAAATTGAACTGCTTTGGTAGGTTCGATCTTCTTCCAAAGAATAGTATTGGGTTCTAGAAATTTCTGATGAACCAAATGAGAACCAGAAAAACAGATCTTTTCTTCACATGGGTGGGTTGTAATAGAAAAGCTCTGGAAAATAGGCAAGTAACAGGAGCGCTGATCTTGGAAATTTCTAGGAGTGGTGAAATTTGTCTTCTTCTTCTATTGTGTATGTGGATGATTTGAAGCCCCCCACGTGTAGCCCAAAATCTGCAAGGAAAGAGTAAGAAACCAAGCAAATAGGAGCGTTGTATCATTGCAAGCAGTAGCGTTATACCACTCTTACACACTTTAAACTTTTAATGTAGGTTATAGATATTGAAGACAAGTAAATCTTATAATATAAGGGTGCAACTCGGGCCTGTTTGGTCATGTTGAGAGGTTGTCTAAACTCAGCCTAAGTTGTGCAGAGACCTGTCCAGACCCGAATTATAATCCGAGGTTGTCTGTCCAAGCCCGACTCGAGTTAAATCAGAATTACCCGAGTTGCCCGAATTATCCAAATTGTAAATGAATTTCAATTTTTTTTTTGTAGCTACATTATTAAATTGTTAAAATTTGACTATATATATATATATATATTTATAGAAAATCATTAATATCGTCAAAACAAATAATTTATACAATATAAGAGAAATGTCGCTATAGTAGTTTTTACAATCTATAAGTGAAAATAAAAAAAAAAAAAGTATGATTTTATGTTATTTGTATATATACTATATATTCAATATGATTTAATAATCTAAATTACTTTAATATTATGTAATGGCTAATAATTTATATGTATATTTAATATTTATATATATATATATATATATATGTATAATTCGGGTTTTGAGTTGCTCGGATTGTTTGACATCTTTGTCCAAACCCGTCCAAATTTAATTCGGACTTTTGAATTTTTATTCAAGCCCGTACTGAGTTTGAAAATATTTTGTCCAAGCCCTAAAAAAATTTAGATTGGGCTTGGATTACTTGGGTTGAGCCCGCCCAGGTTGCACCATTGAAGTAATAAAAATTATTTAAAGAAAGTAAAAAATTTATTATTTTAATTATTACTATTTATGTTATTTTTATTTTTTTATAAATATTTTTTACTAACACAATGTCAGGGTAATTCCCCCCTCGGAAGCAATCATTACAAATACTTAAAAAAAATAAAAATCTAGTCTTGTTGTTTTTTTTTGAGCCCCATGTTCTATTGGGCCTATAGTATGTGATTTTTTTTAATATATATATATATATATATATCTAAAACACAAAATTATATTTGGGACCCCTATTTTTAAGCCAAATTTGGGGCCCAAAGCGCAGGCTTTCTTGCCTGCCCTCTGGGCTGCCCCTACAATTAGTATACAAAAAATGTTAGGAATACTAACAATCTTACTAACATACTCACAAGTTGATGTGAATCCCATACCAAGTGATGGTTAATCTTATCAAAATTTGTAAGTGTGTTAGTAAGATTATTGATAAATATATAAGTATCCCTAGCATTGTTGTTAATATACACATTAGTGTACTAACAGATGATGTGACATCATTTATATAATTTCAAAAATGTTAGAGGCCCCAAAAATTTTACTAAATGTCTCACATAGACATTTGATAAATTTTTTGATAAAATATTTAAGATCTCTAGTATTACTCATAAAATTTTAAGTATTTATAACTTGTATAATAAATGTGATCAATAATAATAATTCATAAAATTTTAAGTATTTATAACTTGTATAATAAATGTGATCAATAATAATAATATAATATTAATTAATACATTAATATATATACTAATTAGTACATGTCGCACATTTAAAAAACAAAATTTAGGTCCGAGTATTCATTTTCAAGATTTCCCCTCATGTGAGAGGGGTGGTCATGATAATTTTCCCACTTTTCCTACCGCCTTACTTCTCTCTCTCTCTCTCTCTCTCTCCAGCAGCTGCATGGGATGGCTGTGGGCTTCCATTAATCTCCAACCCTAAAGCTCACTCACACCATGTTGTTTATGGGTTTTTTGAGCTACCCATCTTCTCTTTCCTACCCATCTTCTTTCCTATTCTATCTCCTCCTCTCCTCAAACCTTCAACACTCCAAACCCCAAACTAAACCTTCTCTTCTTCCCTCTTTCTTGAAGCCCCCACAATCACAATAGTTAAGTCTTTTCAACCCACAGACTTCTCGGAATCTGCTCTCTGTTCTCAGGCCTCTTTTTTCTGCTCTACAAGTAGGTTCTTGCCTTTTTCAATTTCTTGATTAGTTTCCTACTTTGAACCTCCAAAATCACATCTTTGTGTTTCTTGGGATTTTAAAGTCAAAACCCATTTCTTTTTTCTAATCTTTTTGCAGATCTCCAAAGCCATAGGGTTTTTTGGGTAGTTTTATCACCTGCCCAACCTTGTTTCCTAGAACTCTTTTAGTTTGAGGTGGGAATCTTATAAGGCCTTTAGATTTTCATAACCTTGATAGTGAATTATTGAAAGATTGTGGGTTTCTATTAAAATTGTTACAAGATTGCAGCTCTTTAAGCAGTTGAGTTAATTGGGTCAAAACTCTGCTGCCAAAAATTTGTTGGCACCTTTGGCTATGCAATTAGGGTTTCGTTAGGGTTTTGTGATTTTGTTATCCAAACATGGCTGCAAGTGGGCACTGTTTTGTAGAATGGAAAGAGCACTTTGTTTCAAAGGAGCGGGGCAACCGTGTGGTGCACTATTTTTTGAAGGATATTTCAGGGGATTCCATTCTTGCTGTTATTGGCAATGAAAGGAGTGTTAGGCACATGTTCTATGTTGTTTCTGAGGAGTTCTTGAATGCTTTTGGGGCAGAGAAGTCTGTCCATGCCGGCTTCAGATGGAGATCAAGGAGAGAGGTTGTGAATTGGCTTACATCTATGCTATCAAAGCAGCATCGGCTAAGCGATCGGTCCAGTATGTTTTTACCTCATTCTTTTTTTATATATACGTTTTCAAAAATTTATTGTTTAATGTATCCGTTGATTGCCTTCCCATTGTACAAATATGCACACACTTGCGCGTGCAAAAAAAAAAAAAATAAAAAAATAAAAAAACAAACCTTACTGTGTAGTGTCCCATCCTCCGGTCATGTTGGTTTCGTTGGACTGGATTACATATGAGACTATTTGTATCGGGACTAATTGTCCTGATTACCAATCGCTTAAGATTTTGTATCCTATCCCACGCTTGGAATGCCCCTAGATTAGGAGGGATTAGTAGAATCCTATCCTATCCGCCTATGTTTATTTGCAATCATTAGACATGGACTACATGGTGTAATAATCATAATAATCAAATATGAGTGATGTTTTGGTTTTAAATCTCCTAATCCGGAGCCCCCTGAATAGTCCCCCTCATATGGGGATATACAATCCATGGGAACTATCAATCTGGAGGCCCACTTTTTTATGCAAACGCAAGATTTAGGATTGAGCAGGATACATAGTCCAATCCCATTGCTTGATCCCCAAACAAACACAACCTATGAGAACTGAAGTCTAGTTCTCATAAGTGAAAGAATAATAGGATGGTATCCCAAATGCTATATTCATGGAGGACTCTTTGGAAACTCACTGGAACTGGTCTTATTGTTGACATTCTAAGCAGCTTAGTGTTGTTATGAATTATATTGTTGTCAGAGAAGCGTAGTGCTGACCATGTTATGAACATTATATAAGGTTTAGTGGGTACAATATTTGGTACCTTTACCAGCCCAAGCCTTGATGATGAGGGGAATCTGGGTGCTTTCCACCCCATGGCCAGGGGATCGACTCGCATCCCCTTTCCACAGTAAAATTCTATGAGTTGGGAAATTATGTTCAGGCCATGGATGAGAAATTATTCTCCTTTACATCATGCTTTCTTGACAACAATGAAGTGGAATATCAGTAAGAAACTTAAACATTCTTTTTTTAACCATTCTAATGACAGAACCACTGAAGAATGATCCAGCAACTGAAGTCGGTGGTCAACAAATAAAAATGCCTGACTACAAGGTATCTGTCTTTTGTTTTGTCCTTCTGTCACACAAAGTTTTGCTTTTATATGTTCATCTGACACCTATGTTCCTATCAGGGCCGTATGACGAGGAATTTAAAAGAACACACTTCAGACATTGTGTGGTCAGGTGTTCCATGGACTTGCGGTAAACAACTGAAGCACTATCCAGCATTTTGCAGGAATGGGATTACGATAGCAGTGAGTATTTTCCAATTTTCAATGCGAAGTAATTTTAATAGTTTAACTTTTATGTGAACAGGCAATATAATGCTGCTACTAATAGTAGCTGCTATGAAAAGGAAAATTCATGTGACATAACCTTAAATGGGCTTCAAATCAATTACATAGTGATATAAGTATATTACACTATGAAGTAGTACTTAGAAAGAGAAAGTTGATGCTGGAGTCCCTATGATGTTGAATGACCCATATGGACACAGCTGGCTTTGCTCTATAAATACTTTGAGATAAAAGAATCATTGATTTTAAGTCACAATTAAGTGATAGGACTCAATTTAAGGAATGATGTCCGGCATGCTCACATGTAATGTGAGCTTCAAAAAAAATGTCTACACCTTGATGCGTATTCGACACATATTTCCTTTTCACTGGCGTTGTTTCACTCTAAGTTTGTGCTTTTTCCTGTTATTCAGATACAATCCTTTGTCTTTGTCATGGCGGATGAAGAAAAGCACTACCTTGCATATCTAGAAGATATGTATGAAGATAGGAAGGGACAGAAAAAGGTCAAAGCCAGGTGGTTTCACCATAATGAAGAAGTCAAGGGCGTGGTTTCTCTACGAAATACTCACCCCAAAGAAGTTTTCATCACACCTTATGCACAGGTCATCAGTGCAGAGTGTGTTGATGGTCCTGCCATAGTCTTAACTCGTGAACATTTTGAGAAATGTCTTACTGTTTTTCCAAATGCTTTGTTAGCCAGAGTACATCTTTGCTATAGACAATTTAAAAGCAATCGTGTGAAGCCCTTCAAATTGAGTGAAGTGCGTGGCTACTTTAATCAACCACTTTTCTCATGTTTGGATATTGATTTCTTTGACAATGGAGAATTTAGCCCAGGGGACAATGTAAGGGTTGGAGCTAAAAGGACGAGAAGTTGTAGAGGTCGTCAAATGTTGACATATGAACCATCATTGAAGTATGATTTGTTTAGTAGGAGACTAATTTCCCACAAGCATGCTGAATTCCGGCTTTCGCATACTCCCATCTTTAAGGGTAATGAAAAGATAGAGTTGCTTTGCCAAGATAGTGGTATCAGAGGCTGTTGGTTCAGGTGTACAGTCTTGCAGGTTTCTCGGAGACATATGAAAGTCCAATATGATGATGTGAAAGATGAAGATGGATGTGGCAATCTTCAGGTATGCTTATTCAGTTGAAATGCTGTTTTTTAATTTCGTATTATATGACTGAAATTCAAAATAGAAAAGTAAAAGGATAATGGACAATGGATTGACCTTTCAAGTATTCACCATGCATAATTAATTATCTCCCTCCATGGTTTTGAACTTTGATATTCTTGACCAAAAAAAAGAACAAAAGAAAAAAGAATAGAGAACTTTAATGTCTGGTCTAGTTATAGATCCCTCAGTATGGAATTTGAAAACACAATGTGAATAATAGGTGCACAAAGCTTTATACTAAGATTGATTATTATTGCAATCTATGTTACATGGACTCTTTAAAATGCATCAAGTACCCAGTGTTGGGGACTTGATATCTCAATCCCATTAGATATGTGCTTAGCAAGTATATTTATCAATTCAATTTTGTTATATAAATTGTACTTAACACTGCCATTATATTTTTTTTTGTTGCATAATTGAAATAAAATGAGTAAAGTGCCTTTTTGACATTTTAGATTGTATAAAACACCATTTTAGCATACAAAATATATTAAAAATATAAAAAAATATGGTTCTTTTTTGCCGAGACTGCATATCCTTAAATTAGAGGTTCAGTGAGTTCGACCCCCAAATACACACCTTTACCGACACCTGTACCTGAATCAATTAACATAGAAGTTTGCTGACATTTTCTTCAATTTTTAGGAATGGGTCCCTTCTTTCAGACTGGCCATGCCTGATAAGCTTGGAATGAGATGCCCAGGTCGCCAAACAATCAGGCCTGCTCTCCCTCACGATCAGGTAGACCTCACCTTTGAGGTTGGAGTTGCGGTGGATGCATGGTGGAGTGATGGCTGGTGGGAAGGGGTGGTGACTGGAATTCTCAACTCTGGAGATGAAAGTCTGCAAGTTTACATTCCTAGTATGCTCTTTGGAACTCGATATAATTGTCATTTCTTTTATTTTGTCCATTGCTCTTTATAAACTTTGTTCCCCCTGCCTGCTTTCTTGAATGCAATGTTCTTTTTGGGTGACGTCAGGTGAAAACTTACATTTGAACATAAGTAGAAAGAATCTAAGAGTTTCAAGAGATTGGATGGGGGACCGGTGGGTTGATATTGAGGTGAATCGTGACATTGTCTCAACCATATCTGAAGCTATCGGCCCAGATACAAAGGTTTCAGCATCTCCAATTGTTGTGAAGGGGCCCCAATCTGAAGATTTTCCCATGTCAAGTCACGAAGTTTCCACTACTTCCAAACTTGATATAGTCGAGGAGGAGAAGGTTGACTCATTAGATGATTCGGCCCCTTGTGATGACCTTTCAAGAGATACGGATTGGGTGAACGACGAGAAGCAGCCAAAGGTTAAAGACGGAGATAATAGTAATCATGTTAATGACATTATTGAAAAAGAGAATGCAGATTATGTCAACCATGATAATGATAATGTAGAAGATTATGATAATAATGATGGTAATGATGATGAAGTTGGTGATGGGGATGATAATGGGTGCAAGTTAGAGGAGTTTGAAACTGCTGGGCAGAAATGTGAAGCAGAATTGTTGGAAGTGGTTGCATAGTTTGTTTGACAGAAGTTTGTAGTTCCATGAATCAGCAAGACTTTGTGGTAGCCATTGATAACAAAAGTGAAGCAAGTGTTTTAGGTTATACATAAATAGAAAAAAAAGAAAAGGGTTGGGACTTGCATTGTAAGTTCTGTTTAACTTGGGTAGATTTAGGTGTACAGCAATGAGGTTAGAATTCTTTGGTGAGTTCTGTTCTTTAACTGATTGTTTTATAAATAGGCGCCGAGGATCCATTTAATTAGAATCTCACTGATGAGTTGGATCCTTTTCAGTTCTTACTCTTTGTAACTTTCTAGTGTGTTTTTGTGCTTGTACCTTGTGCCGACGACATTAAATTTACTTGTTATGCTAGAATTATTTTGTCAATTTTTGTTTTCTTTGTTTATATCTTGTGCTTTCTATTACACATCTTTAGCGATTAGAATCTTGCAAAATATGGACTATTTTGAATATGCACTCTTTCAATTGTCCATTTCATGACTAATTTCCACTTCAAGAAGATGAGAGTAGACAAATGCTCGATTTTTGTGTGCCATATATGGACTATCCCTTTGGTATAAAAACAAAGCCTAAACTTGTTTGGTATATTGTTTTTGTTCTCATAAAAGTTAATCGAATTAGTTTTTTTTTTTTAAATGGAAATAGAATGTTTTTTTGTTTTTTGTTTTCAAAATAAGTTTTCAATCTCTCCTCCCTCTCACTACCTCCAACCACCACATCGCTATACATCACCACCGGTCATTGCTGACCAGCCTATCTCCATTGACACACTCTGATCAACCTGTGACCTCTGACCACCCTTTGGCCACCCTGTGACCTTTAGCAACACCTTGGTCACTGGCTCTGATCACCCCCACCACTGGGCACCCTCGTTGTTGGCTACCACCACGTCCTATAACTCACCAAACATTTAGGCCATGTTTGTTTGGGCGGACTAGATTAGCATTCCCATGACTAATAGTCCTAGGACTACGAATCCGTTGGATTATGTATCCTATCTTAACTAATAGTCAAGTTTAAAATAATTAGTCTGTATTTCAATTGTTTAATCAAACATTGGATTAATAATTTTATTAGACTATTAGTCCAATCCCAAGCTCATGTCCACTCAAACAAACATGACCTTAAGGGTTAAAAAATCAAGAGTGATACTCCCCCAATTATGTGATACCCAGTCTAACGATGGTATCCACCGAGGTACCAAATGCAATTATTTACAGACACATCATTTACAGATGACATACAAATTTTTTTGTCTTGCACGGTCAGTTTAAACATTAACCATGCATCAACCACGATAAAAGAACACATGCCTGCAAAATCTCTCTCTATTTATAATGTACAAAAATACAGTCTTGATTGGTCATGGGTCAAAGTCTTCCTTCAGCTAATATACACAAACACATCCATGACTCTTGATCAAACTTCAACCCCCGAAACATAAGTAATTAATTGTGGGATCATGAATAATTTAGAAATGAGGAAAGAAAGGCAGATACTTGACACAAATAATTTGAAGTATAACAATTCAACATATTATGCATTTATGATATCATGAATGGCCGAACAAATGTAAATGGCAATTTAACTAATTCTAAAACATTAAATATTGTCTAAATCATTAACCTAATAATAATAAAACACATATTAGTCCCTCAAGTATGCATTTTGTGTTACTTTAGTTCCTAAATTTTCAATTTCATCCCTAAACAAGGTAAGACTATGTTTTGTCTTCTTCATATATGTTTAGGGACCAATAGAACAAAATCACAAACTTTACGAAGAAAACTGATAGCTAGCACATTCACTGAGGACCAGAACTATATTTTATTATCATTGTGTCAAAAATTTGGACGGTTTGTTTGAAATTAGATCAATTCAATCCATTTGAAAATTTTCCTAAATAAATGTGTTATATTTATTCTAATTTTACCTCACTTGTCATTGGAGACATTTGCAAACTGAGTTCAACGTACATACCTAGTCAAAGCTGCCACTTCCACTTGGTCCTGCCTGTCTAAGCCTTTTGCTGTGGGGGTGGTCCTCCTCCTCGTCGTAACAATCAAATCCGCCACTGGGTCCTGCTGCTGCATCGTAGTCATGGTTGTCATTGAGGTCACCGTATCTTCTCTTTGATGTAGTAGCACTAGAACTAGCAACTTCTACTCCTGCTCGTCCTACTAATCTTTCCAAGTCTCCATGGAACACACCCATGTTATCTTCCGAATCAGAGCTGTCTATGCTCCATGCTTCTTCATCATCTTCTTTCTCGTATACTAAATGGACACCCAACTTTACATCTCCTTCAATAAATGAAAAATCCTCGTCAACTGCTTTAGTTAAACAATCAAAGCTATGACTTCTGCGAACTAAAGAAGCTTGAAATTCAATTCCACCCTCATTTAATTGCTCCATATCATCATCTTCCATTGAACTTGGAAAGTCAGTAAGTGGGACATATATAACTTCCAAATTTTGAGAATTCACATATTCAAAATATGCTAGCTCATTTTTAGGGCTTTTTCCGACAACCATTTGAATACCAAGGCGCTTAAACCCAACCTCAATAGAATAAAACTTGCAGCACTTGGATTTATTCTTGATTCCAACAACAGCGAAAACAATTCCCAAGAACCTGTCGTTATACCAATGTGGAGGCAGCTCAAAAGATACTGAACACCCCCTACTTTGATGACTGAACCACTTTGGAATCTGACTCCCGGGGAAACTAATATAAGTAGATTCTTGCCATTGCCATTCAAAATGTTTCTGTACAATAGAGATTGGTCACAATGCTTACACACAAGCATACACACGTGCATGCACACACACACACACAATGAGAGAGAGAGAGAGAGAGAGAGAGAGAGAACCTGAAATTGATTTGAAAGAAATTTTTCTGACAGGATGTTGTTTTGCTCATTCTCAACAAGTTTGAAGCAATTCATGAAGGAAAACCCTTCAACATTATCATATTTGGGCAGACTCAATATTGTTCGTAATGATGTGCAATCATTAGCTTCTATATTACGTATATATGATGAAAGCTTTGGCAGTTCTTGAAGCCTCTTGCAACCATTCAAATACAAGCACACCAGATTAGAAAGTTTATTCATGGTTGTGGGTAAACTTTCAATATAGTTTCCACTTAGATCTAAACTTTGCAACGAGAAGATGTGGCAAATAGTTGTGGGGATAGATTTTAAATTACAGTCATTGAGATCTAGTCGTTCCAAAGACTCCAACCCTAACAAAGCTTCTAGTTCCAAAGCTGTGTAATTCTCTCTCCGTCTTTGTAAAATTGAAGGTAAGAAGGAGTAACTCCATGAATAAGATGCTATTCCTTTACACCCTTCCAAGGATAATGTTTTAAGTTTCTTCAGAAGTCCAATGGAGGGAGGGAGTTGTCTAATTGCAGTCCAATCTGCACGAAGCTCCTTTAAACAGTCTAGAATACCCACGTCTTGTGGGAGTTTGTCAAGTTTGGAGCACCCAGAGAGATTTAGACTTGTAAGAGCTTTCAACTGACAAATGTTGTCCGGAATACTTCTCAAGTTTTTACAATTGCTCAGACTCAACAAAACAAGATTGGTAAGGTGTCCAATTGAATGTGGAAGTTCACTTACACCAATCCCATCTAAATGAAGCTCTAATAAACGTTTCATATAACCAAAGTTGACCAAAATGTATTTAAGCTTTGAGCACCCAGAGACATTAAGAACTTCAAGAGATTCCAATTGAATGACACTTGGAAGACTCATGAGATTTTCGCAGTCCTTCAAATTCAAGAAAATAAGACTCTTGAGAATTTCAATGGATGGATCAAGATTAACCAAACCTATACATGCTTCAAGAATCAGTCTTTCCAGATTTGGGATTCTCATGAAGTCTGGGCACTTGGTTAGATATGTCGAGTGACTAAGATTCATGATCCTTAACGTGTCTAGATGCTGTTGAAGGAAAAAAGAAAAAGAAAAAAAAGATAGATAGAAATTGCAGAAAATATATTGTTTCAAGAACTTTGCATCTTAGTTAGAGTAATTAAATAGAATGCATATTCATACCATTGTTCCCTCCCAAAGTTGTTCAATGTTGCTATGTTTGAAGTGAAGTTCAACAAGACGCTCTGGTTGAAATGTTGAAGGCATGTATTTCATAGGGTATCCATACCAATCAAGATACCTGAGCTTGTTAGAAAGATACTTGAGGTCTTCTGAGAAGTACATACAACAAATTTTGAGAATTCTCAAATTTGACATCTTTGCAAAAGCTTTAGGCCTCAACTTCAATTCTTTTAGGCCAATGTCCTTTGGATCTCGACTTCGAAGGTCAGGATACTCCATAACTATGCCTTCAACCTTTTTTGTTCCCTAATAACCACAAGAAAATAATAGCAGCACACCGTTAAAAGGCTGACAAAATTATGTTGAATTAGCTTTGTTAAATAAATAAGTAGAGAGTGTTCGTACTTTTCTATAAGGTCTCTTACCGTATTCTCCATCAGCACATGTGTTGAATCTTTATGAATCCACAACCTACTACGCTGCCCAGGCTCTTTAGGTGATTCTTGACGAACAATATTCCACCCTAGTTCTTGTATCAAATCATGCATCATCAGCTTATTGTTTGAGATGGATACAAGAGACTTTTTAACAAGAACTTTTATTCCAATAATTGGGTGGAAGTCACAACTTTCTAGTGTTTTTGTTACATCATTTTTGTCTTTCCCTTTGAAAAAACATGCAATATCTAAGAATATTTCCTTTTCTACCAATTGTAATGCATCATAACTTACTCTGAGTACTTGTTGAACTTCATTTAGAGGGCTTTCTTTCAATCTGTTTAATGTACTTTCCCATTCATCTTTGTTTCGACCACAAAGAAAAGAACCCAAAACTTTGAGAGCTAAAGGAACTCCTTTAGCATACTCTATTGCACGACATACAAGTTTTCCATAGCCTCCCATTTGTTGGTGTTTCCTGAAGGCTTTTGATTTAAAGAGTTCTATAGCTTCATCTTCTCCTAATTCCTCAACCTTATAAATATGTGATATGCCATATCTGATTAATGTATGTTGATTTCGAGTTGTTATAATGATTCTACTTCCAAAACCGAACCAATCAAGCTCTCCTACCAATTTTTCAAGTTCTGTTGATTCATCCACATCATCAAGAACAATAAGAACCTTTTTACGGCACACCCTGTTCCTTATTGTACTCAAGGCACTACCAACATTTCCTACTCTTACATCTTTTTCCATTAAGATTTCGGAAATGAGTTGTTGTTGCAGAGTTTTCCAACCACCTTTTTCTGAAACTTCTCTAACATTTTCAATGAAGCTGCAACCTTCAAATTGGCAAGAGATATGGGCATAAATAGCACTTGCAAGAGTTGTCTTACCTATTCCACCCATCCCCCATATCCCGACAACACGAGCATCATCCATCCCTAATCCTAGCAATTCAATCATTTCCTCCATACGAGAATTCATCCCAACTAGGTCTTCAGAAACACTCGAATATGTATGGTTCAATTTTTTAAAAAGTATCCCAACAAGTTCCTGGATGAACATTGATTCAGACCTGTAGATTTAGGCCAAGTAAAAGAAATTTGTGCATCAAAACTCAAAAGAGCTATAAAAAGGTAAACTAACATTATTTTAAATGTGATTAATAATTTTGCCCATTGCAATGGATGAAGATAATTATGGAACAGGAGGACATATAAATGTATAGAGACATACATGTAAATAATTAAACTAAAATTTATGAAATGTTATTTCAAAACATAATTATTTGAGGGGAAATTATAAATGATAAAAAAACCCTTCAAAGTTGCACCCTTATAACCAAATAAATACTGAGTTTTTAATTTTATCAATTTAAACCCTTGACTTTTGATTTATTTTCAATCTAAATAATTTGTCTGCTAAGTAAAATCAATTGAAAACGATATTTTAGTCACTAAAATAAAAAATAATATTTTAGCCATTTTATATATATCTTTATTGAGTTTAATAATTAAAATATTCTTTTTTTCTCAGTTTTTATTTACCGAAAATGGGTCTAAATTGAAAACAAATTAAAATATTAAAATTTACAATAATCAAATTAAAAATTCATAATTTGTTTTAAAATAAAGTTCAAATTCATAATTTTTATTTTTTTTATTTTTACTTTTTGTAATCATCTCGACAACTGCTAGCAAAATTATAAACAAATAAAAAAGCAGAATATTTTTATTTAAGTAACTAATTACCTAACAATTGAATCATTAGGGTAAGGCCATCCAGAAAATTTGGCAACTTGCTCCAAAGCATTCCTCCACTTTTGGACCTTCTCTATCCCCAAATCTCCCTGTTTGGAAACCAATTTCTCAAATTCATCCCTAAACCTCCCCGTTTGGGTTGGCTCTGTTTGGCTTCGCACTTCCGATGGTTTCACGTGATAGAAAATCGGATAAACAGTTGTGTTGCTGCATTCAAGGATCTCCACAAGTTCATCCAAACACCATCTGGAAGAAGCATAGTTCTTGGACAAAACCACAATTGAAAACCTAGATTCTTGAATCGCTTTCCGGAGTTCCGGAGAAATATATTCTCTTTTCATTGTCTTTGAAGGTGTGAATCCCCTTCAGAGCCAACGCTGCGTATAGATGACTGACGAAGTTATCGCGAGTGTCTTTGCCTCTAAAGCTCAAAAACACATCGTATGCCCATCGAGATCGAACAGAGGATGAGGATTTGGCTCTTTGGACAACCATTGAAGCCATCGTAAAAACTCTGTTTGTTACTCAAAGAGAGATCAAATTGAGACTTCTTTTTTTCTTTTGTTTTTTTTTGAACTAGATCAAATTGAGACTTTGATAACATAAGAAAAAACACTCGGAGATCTCTGTTTTTATAATCTGGACAATTTGCATACGAAGATTAATACTAGGTTCGTTGTTCCTATCGGAAAAATATTTGGACATTTGCTTTGCTTCTCGAAATTTCAGTCTGCAAAAATAGCAAAATAGGTGTAAGGAGATGGATCGATAAAACGTTCCGTTAATTCTGTTAGCCCTTATATATAATAAATTTTTTTAAAAAAAATTATATTTATCTTTAAAAAAAAAATATATATATTTATCGTTTATTTTTTTAAAAATAAATATTATGAAACTACATGATTTGAATTATTGTATTAATTTAATTTTTTTTTTATAATTGATTTATAATGAACAAAAGTACATAATAAACTTATAATTTATCGATAATAGGACAATTTATCTTTAATACAATGAGTCCAAATGAATCTGGCTAATATCTGATAAGAGGTTGGGTTCGTTGAAAACTATTTATTATTATAATTTGAAGTATTTTGTAGGTAGGTTTGTTCTTATATCTTTCTTTTTTTTTTTTAAATAAAAAATAATTTATTGCTAAGTCATGAATGCCAACTTGCCAAGCGATTCTGCTCTAATGTAAGTTAAGTGCAAACTTTGACATAAGTGTTGTCTTTGATCTTTGCGTCAAATTACTTAAACACTTAGTTAAATCTTACGAAAAATCTAAACTGTAATGTCTATAATCTATTTTACATCAAATAGGATACATAATCCAACGGATTCGTAGTCCTAGGACTATTAGTCATGGGAATGCTAATCCAGTCCGCCCAAACAAACATGGCCTTAGTTAAATCTTATGAAAAATCTAAACTGCAATGTCTATAATTTATTTTACATCAATTATTCAAGATAAATTAATTATTCTCGTGAGACTTGATAATTAGCCAACATATTCATCAATTCAATTTTGTTATATCATTATACTTAAAACATTGTCATTTATATTTTTGTCTTATAGCAATAGTCATTTTATCATGTAAAATATATTAAAAATATAAATAAATAAGACCCTTCTTACAAGTTTGATGAGTTTCAACCCCTAAGTATACAACTCACCCCACACCTGTACGGTATCGATGTTTGTTTTCACCGTAGGATATATGTAAATACAAAAAGCAATGGAGTTTTGAAAATAGAGGAAGATTAGGTACATGCACCTTATAATTAAAATAATAATAATAATATAATTTTATATTTTTTGAGTCATAACTAAAAAAAAAAAAACCATAACCAAACACCGAGCATAATTAAAGATCTCATAAGTCATAACTATAATAATATAATAACTAAATAAATCAATTAGTTATAACTAAAAAAATGACATAATTCGATGTGTATATGGTACACCAGCGTGTATAGTAGAATTTCTCTTGAAAATAAAATAAAAAGCATAATCCATTCATATATATATATATATATATACAAAAGCACAACAAAAAATTTCCTGTATCATCTAAGAGCAGCTTTTGCCTTTCTATGGGCTTACACCAACAACATTCCTAGGGACTTCTGTAATACAAATATACTCAACCGTATTACAGAACATCTTAATATCCTTGACAATAGACCGCCGATCCAAGCTTCAGCTGATGTGTATATGTTAACAGTCTTGACATTGTGATCTACAGGCCTTCAAGCTGCATCAAGACAGGCCTTGGCTTCTGCCGTAGATGCCGATAATGCAAAGAAGCCTGCAGTGTGCACGGTAGTCTGTCTATCAAATTCATCCAAAGCTACCCAAGCTCCTCCTGCAAGCAACGTATCCTTCATCCATGAGCCATCAATAATGATCCTGTGTACAAGGCTATCAGCAATCCAAAGAGAAATGTTAACAACAGAAAAGGATTTAGGGCAATTAGCATCGTCTCCATAATGATCCAAATTGGGTAGTTTTAGGTGTACAGTAATGAGGTTAGAAATCTTTGATGAGTTCAATTCTTAACTTACTATTTTAGAAATAGACGACAAAGATCCATTCAATTAGAAGCTCACTGATGAGTTGGATCTTGTCCAGTTACCCTTTGTAACTTCTAGTGTGTCTGTTGTGCTTGTACCTTGTACCTGTACCAACAATATTAAATTTACTCATAATGCTAGAATTATTCCGTCAAACTTTGTTTTCTCTGTTTTTCTGCTTAGATATTGTCCAGAAACTCTGAAATTATCAAATGGTAATAATTCTTCTCATCTTGTCACACGGCTGGAGCCCTTGGGTTCTATGATTAAGCTATTACATTATACTGTTCTGCACATTGGTAAGAAAAATATAAAGAAGTAATATTTACCTTTGTTGTTCATATAGAGGCCAGTGTGCTGGAGTTTGAACAAGCAATCTTTCAATTTGTCTATTTCTACAGTCATTTCCACTTCAAAAATGAAGAAAGTGGACAAATGCTCAAATTTTTTGTACCAGAAATGGACTATTTTTTGCCATTAATGTAAAGCAATTCCCACATCATCTAAAAGAAATGAAACACAAGAAAATACTAGAATAGTCTCAACCATGGCTCTCCTGCTATGAATGTCACATTCAGAAAAGGTCTTGCTTCCTCATATCTGAAAGATCTCGACCATGGCACTCTATTCCCAAATATTGCAGTCCTGTAAATGCAAACTTGAGTTACATTTCAATGTTTTGAATAGTTTTAACATTTTGGTTATCTTCTTTTCTTCTTTTTTCTTTTTTGTTTGGGAAATTGAACACAAAAACTTGTTTGGTAAATTGTTTTCGTTTTCATAAAAGTAGGATCGATTCCAAATCAAACATTTGAATATATTGACACGTGATTTTTATTCATTGTAATGTGTTTCCTGTTAATGAGATTTCTGTTCCTTTTTTCTTTGATTAAAGTCATCCAAACATAGTCTAAAATCTAGCATCGAGGAAAAATTGTTGATTGAGAAATAAGAAATTCTCACCAACATTGAGATAAATACATAGGATAAAAATACATCTATAGTCTTCAAAGTGTGTGCACTATACTACTTTAGTCCTTCTAATTAAAATTTTATCAATTTCATCTTTAAAGTTTTCAATTTGAGTCAAATTGTTTTAATTTCAAATGGCTGTTTAAATTAACCTAATAATTATAAAATATAGGAAAAAAGTTATACGAAATGCATACTTTAGGTACCATAACAATATTTTATTATCATTCTTTAAAAGTACATTTTATATTAGATCAATTTGACTCCTTTGAAATTTATCCCAACAAATTGTGGGGATATATTTTCTGAGTACCAACACGTGGCAAGGTGACGCCGACGTGTCAGCCGAGGTGCCACGTGTCCTAGACGTTATGCCGAAGTTATCTCCGAAGATATCAAAATCCGAGATAATCGGATAAGGGACAAGAGTCTTAGAGTAAAGAGGGAACTTCGCTAAGATAAAGATAAAGCTCTTAGAGAGTTTATCTTTATCTCTTGAGGAGTCCAAAGTAAGTACTAAACAGGAGTCTATAGAAGTCAGGCTTCTATTAGGACTAGGATTGAGTTAACTATAAAAGAAAGGCACCCCTGTGGGTCTAAGGTACGCAATTTATGCTTTGAGCAATAAATTAAGCACTTGATTATCTTTGAGAGATATACTGACTTGATCGTCGGAGTGCCCCCGGGTGGACGAACTACCGCCGGAGACTTCTCTTTCTGTTGCAGGTTAGCTAGAAGCTATCTATTCTGCCGGTGCTCTCCAGCTGATTACTAGGCGGGCAGTGTGGTCAGAAAATCACTCACACAATTTGGCGCCGTCTGTGGGAAAGAAAGTAGAATAGATGGCCAGTGACGGACAGAAAGAAAAGATTAGGGACGACACTCCTGTTGGGAGTGGGAGACCTATTGACCTTGATGTCGAAGGAGAAAAATCCAACGCAGAAACTCATGGACAAGCTCATGGAGAAAAAGACGTCGGCCAGCCTAGCGACGTACCAAAGAAACCTGACCAAAGCGGGTACTACAACGAAGCCGACCTCCAGGTATGGAAGGACAGGTGCCTATGAAGGGACGAAGAGGTGAAAGAGATGGCAAACAAATTGGCAGACCTACAATCAGTCGTCAATTGTATGATGCAAAATAACGTCATGCAGCCACCATACCCGCTGCAGGACACGCCGATGCCAGCAACCAATGCCGAGAGGAAAGGCCAGAAAGCAATCCCAGAAGCTCCCCAGCACACCAGGAACGAGAGGCACTCTCATCGGCCTTCCAGGGAGGCCAGGCGAGGGGAGCGAAGAAGAGAAGAATCACGGAAGACGCATCACACAAAAGAAGCATACCCCAAAGGACATCGGCATGTTCAGGGGCAGGCACTGTGCTTCGATACAACTCATGAAGAAGAGTCGAAAAGGGCTCACCACGAGGCCGAGAGTAGTATACCGAAGAGACTGAAGTCAAAGGATAGCCGAGCCCCTAGGCGGAGCAAAGAAGACTTAAGAAATTACTTCAAAAGGAAGCAATAGAATGCTGAAGCCGAGGTAACCTTCCCAGATAAACCGAGGACACCATTCTCGATGGAATTAGACAGATTTGAGGCGCCGAAGAGATTCAGTATGCCGAGGTTTCAAATATACGATGGTAAGTCAGACCCCAACTTCCACGTTGGACTATATTTGAACTCAATGGCATTATATAGTGGGAACGAGCTGTTGCTCTGCAAAGTCTTCCCCTCATCCTTTGGGGAGATTGCATCAGATTGGTTCCACAAACTACCGAAGGGAATGGAAACTTGGGAAGGCCTGACCGAGATGTTTGTGGCCAGGTTTGTGACAAACAAGCTGCAGCCATTAAGGGTGGATGCATTGATGGCTCTGAAGATCAGCATGGATGAAGGCCTTAGGGCCTATGCAAAAAGATACTATGAGGTATTCAATCGAATACCCGAATGTAATCAAGAGGTGGCAGTCGTATCTTTCAAGAACGGCTTAAAAGACAACTGTCCACTACGAAAGTCTTTGGCGAAGACATTGCCAAAAGGTATGGAGGAGCTCATGGCGAGAATCGAAAAGTACGCTAGAGCCGAAGAAGACACGTCGGGAACCAGGGAGATAAAGCAAGAGAAAGGAAACGACTCACCGAAGCGAGGCCGAGGTAACAATGGAACTAGGAATAGCAATGGGGGGCAATGGGGTGGATATTAATTCCCCATTCTCATTCCCCTATAATAAATTTTCCCCATTCCCCATGGGTACCACCCTCCCCATTTTTTAATGGGTATGGATTTTCCCCAACCCACTTTAATCCCCATTTTTATTTTTTATATTTAATGTTAACAACCCCTTTTTTTTTTTTTTTTTTAAGGTTCACAACAAAAACTAAATATACCTTCAATCTTTTTTCTTTCTTTTTAAATATATTTAATGTTAACAATTTTTTTTTTTACAACAAAAGCTAAATATACATTCAATCTTATTTTATTTTATTTGGTTCAACAACAAAATCAAATACACATTAATTAATTAATTAAAAAGTTTGTTTTATAATAATCAAATATATAATTTTGAGAAAATCAAAAAGTTTGTTTGAAGAAAGTGTTATAAGACTCATGTTAAATTACATCAGGGCATAAACAAGGAATTGTTAGCCACGGACAATTTAGACATTAAACCATCTTTCTCTTAGCAAATTTGAACAATTCATTTTAATTTATCCAAAATCTAATTACACC